AAAGTCCCACGATCATGCTCAACGCAAGGAAGCTCAGCGAGCTACTGGCAAAGAATGTCGATCCTAAGCTTTACCCGCGGATGTTGTAAGTTGGAGATATCAGACAGCTCTCAGCATCGTCCCTAACCTGAATAGCATCATGTCACCCAACGGCACCCTGCTCGCCTACTCTACACCGGCGAATATCAAAGAGCTTCGAGATCAGGCTGCACTGATCTCCATGGCCTGGAAAGACCACGAGAAAGCCATCGTCTCGTCGCACGATGAAGACGCCTCCCGAACAGACGGCTCGTCGAAGGCCACTCAGAACAAGTTGTTGCAAACCCTTACGATCGAATTCGATAGCAACAATCTCATCATCCGTGCGATCCAGCCGATGCTGTTGCTCGTGCTTGTTGGAGGTGTTCCGCCCACCCGGAAGGGGGTGTTCAAGATGACAGCAGAAGCAACGGGAGATCCTCGGTATCCGTCTTTCGAGCCTTCCGACGGTGGTTCAAGCGCGGAAGCCATTGAGAGATTGGATCTATCGCCGCGGCAAGACTCGGCGCAGGGGACTGACTCACCCAGTCCATCATCCAGAGAGCTGCGGGCGGAGGCTGCCAGCCATATGAGCCTACGGGACAAGGACATCAAGCTTGGCGCCTTACATATCCAGCGCAAGAAGCTCGATGCGATGACGAGGTTCATCCGAGACGACTTCAACTCCAAGGGCTTCGTCATGCCGGACGACCTGAGCTTTCCCTGACAAGACCGCAAGATCATGTCAATAGGGTCACTGCATTAGAAGGCAGGATCTTGTCCGCCACTTCGACTATCAGAAAACGGCTCTCGCATCCTCAGCATGGCGTTGGGCGTTGGATACCAGCATGGCTATTGGACATCTCTCGTACTGCAACTGGTCTGGGAATTCGTGGGGTGGTTTGCTTCTTGTACTATCAAGTCATCTCAAGCGTTCGAGCGGCATTCGTCTTGGATTGCATGCTGCCTTCTCTATGTACCCATAGCCAGGAACAACGATGCTCATATTAAAGCTGAATTGGTGAGCGAGTCAGTGTGCCAGTCAACTAGTGGACGGCCAACCTTCCCGCTTCGATTGAACACAGCATTGGTCTGCTGACGGCTCGCATGCTCAGGCACGATGATGCTGTCGTTCTAAGAGACGACCTCATGATGACCGACCAGGAGCTGTGGCCGGGCGTGACGTCAATCGACATCCCTGTCGAGACGAAGCGACTTCATCTCGAGCCGCGACCTTCAACACCACGGTAGCTTTTACCGCACCACTTTCTCTGTCGCGCAATTGATTGTCAAGTGAGGCTCAATTCCCTCAATACTCATCTCCAGATCCGAGGCGACATCCACGACCGACGCTACTGCAGATTCCCCAGCGAATCAGTTACATCGCGCATCTCCCGCACCTTCATAATAACCTCAGACAATCCCCCGCGCAACCCCCATCATGTTCCTCGCAACCTCAGCAAAGCGCATGGCGAGCACCACCCGGCTACGGGCCACCATCCAGACCGTTACCCGTGTCACCTCCATCCGCGGCCTCCACCAGACACGCGTTGTCGCGTTCCCCTCTAAAAACGCCCAGGGCAAGGACGACCTCGAGCCCATGGGCGACGAATACAGCAAGTCCGGCTCGGATCAGCAGTCCGCCGCGATGGAGCAAGCAGCCTTCGACCCGAACCAGACCAGCCCGGAGCAGGAGAAGAAAACCGCAGACAAGGAGAGCGGGGAGGTGGGTCAATCACAGTCGGACGTTAGTGGAGCGTTCATTCATCTCTTCTGTTGAAGCTTGGTGTGATGTTGCGATGCTCCCTAAGGCCTCGTGCTGATACTAGCATTTGGGTTGTAGGACAACAACCCGCTGGAGATGAGCCCGGCCAATATAGACGCCAGTCAACCAAATGATCCGAAGGGTGCCCCGGCGGAGAGTTCTTCGTCAGAGAGTAAGGATAGTGAGTCTGGTAGGCAGAGGACGAGTGGAGGGGGGAGCGCCCCGAAGGCTGGGGGTGGGAAGTCTGGTGGGGGTACGTCGGGGACCATGTGATTGGTGGGAGTAAGCAGTTGGTAGCAATGAGCGATTGAAAGAGATTAGCATGCGATGGAGCCATTACGACACACTGCAGTTGTTGAAAACGCTTTTCTTTCGGCGTACGCGGGCCTCCGCTTTCCCTGAAAGCTCGAGTCACAGGATGTTCTTCCGCATTCAGATCCGATAGGATTTCATTCATGGCGAAGCAATGCTACAATCACCGTGATGAACTCTGCGCCTATGTTATGTTCGTTAAGGTCGCTGGTTACTTTCCATTCTCCCCTGCGCGCTTTCGTCAAAGGGCACCACCGGTAGGACCGCTGTAGTCACTATCCGAAAACAAGAGATACTTGAATCACGTCTCGAAGGGTTTCCCATAAGATTGTAATCAGTAGCTGCGTCTCTACTTGGCTCTCTTCACGAAGAAGAGGTTCCCAGGCTTCACCACGTGGAGGTGTAGAGTCCGTCTTCGATGCCCAAAAAATTTGAGTCGTCCTCGCCAGAGTAATCGGAATTGAATGATACCTTTCCTCATGTCCTATTGGTTTGCCTTTTCAGACATGTCCTTTTCAGGAGTTGTCGGACATGAGTCCCAGTACGCCGCGTATTGCACTAAAGTATCACCATGCTTTCGCACAGCACACAATCTTCGCACCGGCTCCCATAGGCATTCAGGCCGCAGTCTGTAGAAGGCGGCCCTAGTCCTGAGATTTCTGATGCCGAGTGCAGACGTGAAGTCACGCCAGGCCCTCACAGGCAGCTGCCAGATGCTCACACAAAGGTGCGACTCGCGCCCCGTGTGAGAAGGCGAGAGGTTGAAGATTACTCCGAATTTCTCATTTGCAAGCGTAGACCAGCTGAGACGGAGCTCAGTGTCTGTTGTGGGCAAAGAAACGCAGCGTTGGCGAGGACGACTGGTGAGAACAAAGGGTTGTGGGCGTTCCGCCGCGAAGTGGTTCGTGCCAAGACCCCACGTCAGACGTCAACCGTCGGTGGTGATTGATGAAACTCCGGGTTGCGGATTGCCCACTGTGTCTTCCAGTCGATCGATTGATAATTACAACCACTCCAGGCTGCTACCTTTACTCACCAGGACTACATCCTCGACCCTTCCCCGATCCTACAAACACTGGTTTGCCCCACGAATAGCCAGAATGTCGCGACGCCCGAACCCGGCGGCGGACCGCGCTGCCCAGAACCAGGCGACACTCAAGAGCCTGACGAAGCTTGAAGGCAACAAGAGCTGTGCGGATTGCAAGCGGAATAAGCGTATAGTCATAGTGCTGCTGTCTCAGTATATTCATGCTGACCCTGCCGTCCTACAGACCCAAGATGGGCGAGCTGGAACCTAGGGGTATTCATCTGCATCCGGTAGAACACCCTACCCCATGTGCGCATGACGAGCGGAAGCTTACGAGTCAAGATGCTCTGGGATACATCGTGGCATGGGGACACACATCAGCAGGGTCAAGTCCGTGGATTTGGACTCTTGGACAGACGAACAGCTACAGAGCATGCTGCGGTGGGGCAACGCAAGAGCAAACAAGTCAGCTGACACGCTACTCATATAGTGGCGCTGGCTAACACGCTTCAGATACTGGGAAGCCAAACTCGCTCCAGGCCATGTGCCGTCAGAAGCGTGCGTATCAGCCTGCGCGCCCTCGCCTAGCAAGGCTGACACCTCGATAGCAAGATGGAGAACTTTATTCGGACAAAGTACGAATCGAAGCGATGGGTAATGGACGGTGGCATGCCAGACCCCGCGACGCTCGATGCTGACGCAGACGACGATGTGGTATGTTGAGCGCTGTCATAATCGCAACACGCGGCAAGGGCTGACCGCTACCTAGCCGTTGAACGTTGTACAGGAGAAGGCGAAGATGGATCGTTCCAATTCACAGCGGGCAGCAGCGACATCGAGTCAGCCACGACAGTCATCAGCTAGCCGCGCACCGAATATTGACCTCTTTGGAGATGACACAGCGTCTGCACCGCCCCGACCGAGCACTACAGAGCCATCCATTACTCGACCGCCACCACCCAAAGGAGAGCCAGCTGCGCCCAAGCAGACAAAGCCCGGCGACTCGCTTTTGGGCCTGGACTTCTTCGGTGGCACGCAGTCTGCGCCTCCACCACGGTCTTCAACCACTACGGCCGTACCAAACGCATCTGTCCCCTCAAGACCTGACCTGAAACAATCCATACTATCCCTTTACGCGTCTACCCCGAAACCAGCTGCCGCCCCACCACAACCACACCATCAGTCAGCCGGATCTTTTGGAGGCCTGCAGTCGCCTTCCACGCAACCACCGCAAGCACAGCAATCCGCGTTTGGAGGCTTGAGCGATGCCTTCAGTGGCCTAAGTTTCGCGTCGCCCGCAACCCAGCAGCCAAAACCCTCGCCCTTTGCTGGCCTTACCAGTGCCTCGAGTCAGCGCTCTGCAGCAGCCGCTCCGAGCATAAGCGGCGGCGGCAGTTTCTTCGATGCCCTTCCGAAAGCTACGAAGCCAGCTGCCGCGCCACCGCCATCACAAAGAACGTTCAGCTCCTCCAGCGGTTTCGGTGACTTCGCCTCCGCTACATCTCCAATCAGTGCGGTGCCTCCCAAGCCTTCTGCCACTGGCGGCATGGATGATCTCTTCGGTTTCGCGGCTCCTGCGCCACAGCCATCCGCTCCACCTAAGCCTCCTGTTTCTCAGCCGTCAGCGAGTCTGAACTCTGCATTCAACCTTTCAGCACCTGCACCTCTTTCGCAGCCGCAAGCCCCGCCAAAACCGGCGCCGCCCTTAACCACGAATTACTCCAGTGGACTGAACATGGATCCCTGGGGCTCGACCGAAGCCTGGAGCAGCAACACGACTACTCAAGCCCCCTCTGCGGCCCCTACCGCATCAAGTACCAACAACTTCGGATGGGGCGCTAGCGGTGGCACCGCTAAGCCGGCTCCGACGCAGGTGAGCGCTGATGAGGATTTTGGCGGCTGGAGCAGTGCACCATCCGCTACATCTCCGGTAAAGACGACCAGCAAGCCATTGAAGCCGGCAGGTGGCTTCACGAGCGATGATTTGTTTTCGAATGTTTGGGAGTAACGTCACTGCGGCTTGGAGAGGCGACAGTTTGGGAACTCTGCGACCGCCAGAAAGCAGGCAGAGTCAAAAGATGATTAAAGACAGCTCAATGTTCCGAAGTGCTGAAATCGTGCTGTAAATGCCTGTTGCCAGTTCCAGTGCGCCAAACGTCATGTGCCGTAACGCCGTAATGCTTGCACCACGCCGGTTCTGACGCTCTGTCCAGCCTGTATAATGCTCTGAAGTCACCCTTCTGTCCGTTGCGCGTGATTGACCTCTCCTGCGCCCCTTGTCGCCCTCTCCCTTCGGTACGCATGCCATGCATGCAAGCGAAACTTGTCGCTCGTCTTCCATCCCCTCCCGCGACCCTCTTCATCCCCAAAGGCTTCTCCTCTCTTCTGCCAACTCAGAAGAAAAACCCACTAATCCACCACAGCACAATCACAACCGCGCTAACTATCCCCGCGAGCTTGAGCACAGCGACCTTGTTCCCACTCGCAGCCATCCTGCCCAGCCGCGTCGCGCTGCCCTTCAGACTGGTCCCGAAAGAAGAGAAGACCTCGTTGCTGCTGTCGATGACCCGCTGGTCCCGCGCGTTGTCGTAGATGTCGACAGTTACGCCCCGGAGTGCGGAGACCTTTGAGGCGAGCTCGTCGAGGCGGGAGTTGTTTTGGCGCTCGCGCTCGTAGGCGTCGGACATGGTGGTGGTGGGGGAAAGGTGGAGGGGGGGCCTGAGGAGGTTGCGCACGGTTAGGAGGTTGGTTGGGGGTGCTTTTCTATGGCGGCTTCGGGGGAGAACCAGGGGCGGTTCGTACGTCGGAGCTTGTGTTCGGGAGGAGATTATTCTGATATGCGGCCGGGTTTGCCTGTCGTGTGCTTTCTGGCTTGACTGACGCAGGTGTCTTTGTAACTTCAAGGTTGGCATTTCCTGTAGGGCTTATCTAATCTGCAGCCCTGGACGATCAAAGGCCGAACGATCGCCGACTTGGAGAATTACATCACATCGTGGGGAGATATTCCTGATATCGGAACAGAACGCTGCTTACTTGAATCCAGTGGTTTCATATTGGAAGTACCATATTACAAGTCACTGGTCTACCTTGTGGCAATAAGCATTCGCGTTACGCCCGGAGAGCGCACCGTAATCGTCGTCACCCTGGGCGCAGCTCACCCGACTCCAGCTCCACCTTGTCCGTCGCTCCGCGGTGCTCCGGACTGCTGCTGAAATCCTCCATACATATTACGCCAAATCCTTCTTCAACACCTCACTGTCTTTCTGTAGATAACCCTTTCGCTATTCCAAATAACCGCCAAAATGCCTATGGGAATCAACAACCCGCTGCCCTCGTCGATGAGCTCGGAATGTCGCAAGGCAGGCAAGATTCTCGCGTCATTCGTCGACCCACGGCAGGCCTTCGGTCCTGACAAGATCATACCTCCGCAAGTCCTCGCGCACGCAAAGGTACGCCCGCAACTACTATCTCAAAGCTCCGCAAGCCAGCGCACAAATCTCCTAAACCCCGCTCAAACCCCCGGCGGAGTGCCAAGCGCAGTCACTGACAAACCGCTCTAGGGCCTCGCGATACTATCAGTCTTCAAAGCCGGCTTCCTCGGCACCGTCCGCTTTGGCTCCGGCATAGTCGTCGCGCGCCTGTCCGATGGCTCATGGTCTGCGCCCAGCGCAATTGGGACCGCCGGCGGAGGTTTCGGCGGCCAACTCGGATTCGAGCTCACGGACTTCGTCTTCATCCTGAACAATGCCGCCGCCGTGAAAACGTTCGCGCAGATGGGCAGCATACAGCTCGGCGGCAACGTATCAATCGCGGCAGGGCCTGTAGGCCGCAACGCGGAGGCCGCAGGCGCGGCGAGTCTGAAGAGCGTGGCGGGCGTGTTTGCCTACAGCAAGACCAAGGGCCTATTCGCGGGCGTGTCGCTGGAAGGCTCTATTATTATCGAACGCAGCGACGCGAACAAGAAGCTGTACGGCCGGCCCGTGACCGCAGTTCAACTACTCGAAGGCTCAGTACCTGTTCCTCCAGCCGCGGACGCTTTGATGCGTGTTCTCAGCTCCCGCGCCTTCACCGGAGTAGGTGCTGGCGCGGACCCAGACGCAATGTACAACGACGTACCCGTCTATGATGACAGGCACGAGGATGTCGTATGGCAAGGTCGATCGGGAGCGGCTTATGGCGAAGGCGTACGGTCAGATCGAACAGGCGCGTCGGGAGAGGATGGATACGAGTACCGCGATCGGCCGCAGCGCGCTTCTACCTGGGCCGACGACGTATACGACCGTACGCCAGGCAGTGCAGGAGGTGTCAACCGCTCCTTCTCCACTCGCGCCAATCCGAATGAGACGTTTGACCGTCTCCAAGGCCGCACGCGCACAAGTAGCAACGTCGGGGATGACTACGAGTACAGTGACAAACCTAAGCCATCGCGGCCGACGGCGCCGAAGCCGGTTTTCAGACCGAAGGCAGCGAGTATGAGTCAGAACCAGGCGGTTGCGAAGTTCACCTTCGACGCGGATCAGCCAGGCGATCTGGGGTTCAAGAAGGGTGAGATCATCACGATCATTAAGAGGACGGAGAATCCGACGGATTGGTGGACGGGGAGGATCGGTGATCGAGAAGGTGTCTTTCCGAGGTGAGTACATTTGCATACACAACCTTGACGAAACAGTGCTGACGTGTGGGCAGTAACTACGTGGAAACCGTTTGAGGTGTCTCCGGCTACTCCGGGGGTTATGATGGATGGATCAGTCAAGTCTGGGGTTAGGCAGGGCGCATGCTAGTCAGTCTCTTTCAGTAATTCCTTCTCGCATAGCAAGGCGTTCAGAGTTTATGGTACAGGGTTTTTGGCGCTGCAGATTGTTCAGTAGATACCATGGATAAGATCTAGCGGACACTCTAAGTCGCCACCGGTGCCAAAAAACCTCTTGCCCCTTCAATAAGGCGCCTCACCCTTGTTGGGATCTTTCTATGCCAAACCAGCATTCTGAAGAGCATGGTAACGTAGCAACTGATTTCCTAGAAGAAACTTTCCTGGTGCAGCTTTTTCTCAGTGTCCGTTGGCAGCCTCATGTTTTGCCGGTTGCTTAGTTGTACGCTACTCCGGTATTCACCGTGCTTGATTTAATGCATCTAGGAAACCGGGCCATAATGTCTCCATAAACTCGTGATGTTCCCCCCAGGCTGGCGACTACCTCACTGTACACCCCAATCCTTTCAATATTTTCAAGTGCGCACTTCGTTGGACGTCAACCAAACTTCGAGGAAGGCGCAACCCCTTCAGTTAGGTACTGAACCGGTCATTTCCTTCACTACACAATCTCGCACTTCACCTTTTAGAAGGGCACGTGGGCCCACAGGGCCAAACGGCACGCTTGGTAACTTCCAAATTCTATACTTAGTTTGTTTCGTTCTGGAAACAACCTTTGTACTGCCTCCAAACGCTCCTACTCACAACAGCATAAAAATCACGCTGGATATCCGCTCAGCACTACGCAACTTCCTTCTAGAAAGATTACCCGTCCTTCCTAAAGATCAAGCGGGTCCCTCAAAACAACCGAAGAAAAGATATAGGCGACTCGATCCGCAGCCTTCTGCTTTTCATCTTTCATTCAGACTTCGTTCATCTCTACCTCCATTGACGCCCGCAGGCACTCCAGCGACAACATCTTTCTGATAAATACGCACCTCGGACTTTACCACTATATCCTTCCTACGACGGCTCCTTCATTGCAAAGATGCTGTCGAGAATTGCTCAGCGTATTGTCAGGAAGGCCGCTGTTCCCCGCACCAGCATCATCACCCGACCCTTTTCTGCCGTCACTTCCAGGCCACAAGACCTTGTCAAGGCAGAAAAGGTTCCTATCGTCACCTTCACCGGTGGCGAACGGCAATCATCTGAGCTGACAGTCGGAAAGACCTCAGGACCAGTCAACCCTCCCGGCGCCGACGAGCACAAAGCTGCTGTTGCTTTCGACAGTTCTCTCCTTCCGCGCCTCACGCCCACCATGGCCAAGTTCACCTTGCCCGGCAAGGTCGCAGTCGTTACTGGGTAGGTCTCTCTTCACGTCTCTTCACTGTCCATTAGCTCATCGATTTGGCAGCGCTGGTCGTGGACTCGGCTTCAACATGGCTCAAGCCATGGCAGAGGTCAGCGTTCGTGGAATCGCAATCATGGACGTTCAGCAACAACTTGGTGAGAAAGCCGCCAAGGAACTCAGCGAAGAGACCGGTGTCGACGCCCGTTTCTACATGGTCGACGTCCGCGATGGCAACTCCATCATCCGGGCTGTTAACGACATCGTCGGTCACTACGGCACCATCGATGTGCTTATCAACTCCGCCGGCATCGCCGAGTAAGACTCCCTCCTCTCCTTCCGTACGACAACATCCACTAACGTCAATCCTCACAGCTCAAACATCCCAGCCGAGACGTACGACACAGAAATGTTCCGCCGCTTAATCGACATCAACATCACGGGCACCTTCCTCGTCTCGCAAGCCGTCGGCAAGCACATGATCTCCGCCGGTCACGGCGGCTCCATCGTCAACATCGCCTCGATGTCCGGCAGCGTTGTAAACTACCCACAGGAGCAGTGCTGCTACAACACTTCCAAGGCCGGTGTCGTTATGCTCACCAAGTCTCTCGCCGCCGAATGGGCCAAACACAACATCCGGGTCAATGCCATCTCGCCGGGCTACATGGATACCGCGTTGAACCGCGTCCCGGCGCTCGACGCACAGAAGAAGATCTGGATCGAGCAGACGCCGCAGAAGAGGCTCGGTGCTGTCGACGACCTGAACAACCTCGCGGTTTACCTCGCTTCGGATGCATCGTCTTACATGACCGGCAACAATTGCACCATCGATGGTGGTTACACGCTTTGGTAAATGATGGCGGCGCTGACTTCCTTTCATCTACATTCTCTTCCTCTTTGTTATTCTTGAGCGTCCCCCTCCTGCACATACCCCTTGGTTGTCGATGAGCGCTGCAAGCGCTGGCGTTGGACTAGACTCGCATTGGGCAGGCGTACGCCCTTGGGTTGATCGGCTCTTGTTGGCATCGTCAGACTTCGAGCTGGACTGTATCGCGAAAGACAGGTGGGGCCAACCTACACAGCAACAACAAACTCTCTCACCTCTGCTCTGCGTAACTTCACGCTTCTGGTTTATTGTGCGCCTGGTTTTGGATTGGACGGCTTGGCATAAGCTGCTCGCAGTCTACATGAATGACACGGTCCTCTCCCTTCAGACCTTTGACGTTGACCGGCCAGCATCCCCGCTGCAAAAAGCTCATCCTGCCATCAAACAAAATTGCTTGTGAAAGGTTAGAATGTTCCATGCGGTAGATATGCCGGTCGCGGTCCAACCCGAAGGATAAAGGTACATGAATCTAGAACAATCATCAGCTTTCAACCAGATCGGAACGTCGGTGCGTGCGAATGTGGGCGGCTGAAAGCGTCTAGTGACCAACCTGTTACCCAGCGGAATTCGGATAAGAGTGTCCAATGTCCAACCTGCTACAGGACATCCGCCGATTGTTACGGTCTGAGGTTTGATTCTTCTTATTGCTGGCTGTTTTGCCTTTTCGCATTTCTCCTTTGGTCACATCCGCTACGGTAAGACCGGATATATTGGCTTTCCAAGGGGATTGGAACTTTGAGAATGATGCTAGATGAATGGAGCAAGAGTTGTTTTTATCATTGTTTGTTCAAATCAGGAGTGAGGACATGGCCAGGATGAGGAGAGTGTCTTGACACAGTTCCTAAGAGAGACGACGAGCGCTGAATAGGACTTGATAATTGTAATGGACCGCCATCTCAGAGGAGGAAATTCGAGATGCAATACTATGTCATACTTGAGCCTTGAGCTTTTGAAATCCGTCCAACTCGTACATGCTTCAATTACAAACCTCTGGATATCCGTTCAGTCAAACACCCCAACGCCCTGCTCCCGCAATGCAATGTTCACAGACCACTCCAGGCTACCATCTCTGCCCGTAGCCACCTCTCCCCCTGAACCCTCCGCCGCCGCGACCGAAGCCTCCCCCACCGCCCCTATATCCACCTCTCCCAAATCCGCGATCTCCATATCCACCGTCATATTCCCCTCTAGGCCCAGCCGGACTATGCTCCTCCTGTCGCTGCGGTGGTGGCCTGCCCTTCAGCTGCTTCTGTAGCTCCTCGTACGTCTTCCGCATCTGTGCGTACCCCAAATGCATCTTCCCGTAGAAGTGATCCGCCAGCCGCCTATCGTTGTCTAGTCTGCTGAGATACGCACCGCACACATCGCAAACTTGCAATTTCTGGTGGCCCGAGGGCCCTGAGGTGTCTGACAGCGCCTTGAGCTCCCGTTCCCGATCCTCCTTCGTGTGCTTCGCCTGCTTAACCTTGAAGAACTCCGTCACGGCCGTGTTTACGGCGCCTTCCTCAGCGAGGATCTGGACCTCGAAGAGGCCGCTTTCGATGGTGATGGTGAGGTCGGAGATTTGCTTGAGCTGTACCATCTCGCGTTAGCACTCCTACTCATGCGCCGCAACAACTGCGCGCAACTCACCAGCGCATTCGTCTGCCGAATCTCATCCGGCGTCTTCTCAAGCCTCCTCTGCGCGGTATCGATCCTCCGATTGCACTCGTCGACGTACTTCTGCATGTCCCGCAGGTAGTCGTACTCGAAGCCCCACCGTTTCTTCTGCTCCTCGCTCGCGCTGTCGTACTCGTTCTTTAGCGCCTCGGAATGCGTTTTCGGACACGGGCCGAAGTCTTGCTTGGTGTTTGTGAACAGGTCGTGGGGACACGTGCCGACGAGGTAGGAGCGGCAGACTTTGGGGTCGGTGATGGAGAGTTGGGGCGCGCGGGTGCCGGGGCCGGACATTAGTTGCTCGCCCATGAGCTGCTCTGAGCAGATAGTGTTAGTGAACGCGTATAGGTAGAGTGCGGAGCGTATGCCCACCGAGCAGCTTGCGCTGTTCCGCCGCCATGGTGGGCGGTTTTTTTATGGGCTTTTACTCGATCTTAGCACAGATGTCGATAGACGAAGCCCGTGGACTTGAGTGAGAATGGCGCTGCAACTTTCAGGCTGTTGATGGTGGAGCACAGTTTGTGTCGCTAACCTCGAAGCTCTCGAGAAAGTTCGGATGCGGTTCTCGCGGAAGACGCGCCGCCGCTGCTCGCTTCTGCAATGCCCGTCGACCATGGGTTTGCGGCGGCCAGCACCCCCGAAGTGCCCTCCGCAGCGCATCACAACCCCCGGCTGAAGAGCCGCAATGCTCCTTCATGTCCGCTTCCTTCTGTCCTTTCTGTGCTTGTTCTTCTCCCAGGTCATTTTAGCGTCGTCTTCTGATTATCACGAGCGCCTGCTCCTCCGCCCACTCCCTCAGAATGCACTACTAGCCTCATTCAACTTCCGCAGTAACGAGTCTTTATCGAGCTTCGAGCAACAGAACTTCAGATACCTCCCGCGATCCGTAGGGCAGATACTTCAGCATGCCCACACCAAAGAGCTTCATTTACGGTTCAGTTTCGGTCGCTGGGATGCAGAAAGCTGGGGTGCAAGGCCTTGGAATGGAGCAAGAGAGGGGGGTACGGGTGTGGAGCTATGGGCGTGGGTAGAAGCAGAGACGGATGGCGAGTAGGGCAAATAACTCTTCAGATGTATGGATATATGCTAAGCATATGGCAGGGCGAATGCACGATGGCTGACACTCACCAACGCCCTTTCTGGCCTTTTCTGCGCATCGTTGAACTTCATAGACTCGACTAAGACAATACGACCTGTCGAGATCTTTCAGCCAGAGGGGAACCATCAGGATGCCAATCTGCACCTCCTTCATGGCGCCCTGCCGCATGAGGTGGTCTGCACGGAGAACCTGACGCCGTTCCTCAAGCTGCTCCCCTGCAAGGGTAAAGCAGGTATATCAAGCTTGCTGGACGGTCATAAGCTATTCGACGCATCATGGCAAACCATGTCGATCGACGTCAGACCGGTTTGTCCCACGGATGGTGGCGAGTGTATCATTGAGATTGAGCAGACAGTAGACATGGTGCTGGACATCGACCGGTCGAAGCGACCTCGCGACAATCCGATCCCCCGCCCCGTAAAGATAGAGGATATTACTTGTGATACCTCGAAGCCGTACAGTTCACAGGATTCTTGCTATCCGCTAGACCATGTCCTGGAGCCGTCGTGGAGCGTCGCTGAGATATTCGGACGTCCGTTGAAAGGCGCATGCCCGCTTACAGCAGCCGAGGGGGATGAGTCGGAAACAGTGTGCCTCAACGTGCCCCCCGAGCGGGATGTCGAAGTCCGTACGCAGGGATACCACGCTCAACGTATGCGGGAAGGGGGCTTCCTCCGCTGCTACGAGCTTCCAACAGGCGAAGATTTTGACCTCTTTCTCGCCGAACAGTCCCTTGAGACTACGATACCGCTGCCGCAATCCCCCCTCTACGCCACCCGCTCAATCGTCGGCCATGGTCAAGAACGCGGCGGTGTCCAAGCCGTCATTACCAACCCTTCAGATGCAGCCGTCGACCTGGCGTATCTCGAATCCCTGCCCTGGTTTATGAAGCCCTACCTGCACACCCTCAAGGCCACGATCACACCCACCAGCGACAACTCTAGCTACACGCACCCCATCAAAGAAACTTACTACCGTCCCGCCGTCGACCGCCGTCGTGGCACCCATCTCGAGCTCCTCCTCACAATCCCGCCCGCATCGACCCTCACGCTCTCCTACGACTTCGACAAGGCCATCCTGCGCTACACTGAATACCCTCCTGACGCCAACCGCGGCTTCGATGTTGCACCGGCGGTAATCCGCCTCCTCTCGTCTTCTGGAGAAGAGTCACCCAAAGGCGTCTACGTCCGCACGACGAGCCTGCTGCTTCCGCTGCCGACACCTGATTTTAGTATGCCATATAACGTCATTATTTTGACGAGCACGGTCATGGCACTGGGGTTCGGCAGCATCTTCAACATCCTTGTACGACGCTTCGTCGGCGCCGACGAGGTGGAGAAACGGGGACTTGCGGGGTTGAAGGGGGTCCTGCAGGGGAAGATTGGGCGGTGGAGAGCGAGGTTTGGGGGGAAGGGCGCAAAGGAGCTATAAAGTCTTTATACATTAGATTCTGTGAATAGGGATCTATCAACGCTCTAAGCTTGCTTTGGTCGAGTCTCACATTCACAGAGTATGCAAATGCGACGCTATTGATGGCTAATACTATATCATGTGACGTTTCGTCTACTCACGTGACCATATTGGACGCTACGACACTTCCTCGCGAGCCATCGTATACTCAATCTAGTCCTTAGTGGAAAGTATGGAATGTCGGCCAATCGTAGTTACGATAAGAAGAGTCTCAATATGAACATCAGCAGTCATGAGTGGGACGAGAACACGAGTCGGGCATGCTGACCTGCTCAAGTGGCTTGAGGCTGAAAGCTGCGGAATAGATTCTATTGGCCTCGTGTCCAGCTCCAACTATGTTGGATTCCCCCACGATGCAGGAGCAGAGCACATTTGATACGGCTCTGACGCCCGCTGTTGGACAACCGTGTTCCCATTCTTTGCGTTCCTTAGTCTCAAGTCGTCCGGAGGGTTTGGTTCTCAGTCCCATGTTCTCCAGTGAGGGGAGAACTGTGAAACTATCGACGCCAGCATACAGTCGTGTTTTTGTACGCGGTTCCCATTTGTCGACATATCTCTAGTCTCGCAGTGCCTTTAAGTCAATCTTCAGTTCAAAACCTTTGTCCCAAGTCATCAACCTTCAAACGCACAAACCACATGGCATGAGGCAACCCTCTCGCTGATCAGGCGTGGTATCAGTCCGACGCCACGCCACCAAGCCATCATCCTCCTTCCATGAGATATGGCACTCGCATCAAATCACTCCATGACCCACGGTTGGGTCGACTCCCCAGACACGCGCGGCACGATTGACATCGTCTGGAGCTGCCTCGGCACGCTGTTCCTCTGCAGCTGGGGCGTGCTATGTCTAAACGTGCCCGCAGCTTCAGATGGGTACTGGCGCATCCTTGGCCGAAAGCTACGTTGGATGTGTCTGGCGATCTACGGGCCTGAATTCATCCTCACGTCTGCCATGGGGCAATGGTACCCAGCACGAGCGTCCGTGCGGGCTTTTCGGTTGCTGGGCCACGAGGAGTGGACGTTACGCCATGCCTTCTTTGCGGATATGGGCGGCGTCGCGCTGGCTATGCCTGATGGTGCACTGGCGCCTGTTAATGCCTATCAGCTGCTTTACCTGGTTAAGGAGGGTTATACGCCGATGCCTCAGATCCCCCTCCAGGCAATCAACGACAAGGATAAAGCCAACGGGTTCGCGAGGCTGATCGTCGTCCTGCAAACGGTGTGGTTCGTGTCGAAATGCATTGGGCGCGCGGCGCAAGGTCTGGCCATTACAACATTCGAGCTCACGACGCTGGCCTTTGTCTTCTGTACGCTGGCGACCTTCTTCTGCTGGCGGCACAAGCCGCTGGACGTCGACACGCCGATCGTGTTGCATATCAGCACGATACCTACGGAACCGCATCAGAGGCACGGGAGCCCTGACCCCGAGCGCTCCGCCTTCTCCTTCTGGGATCTTCCGGACACCGAACACGTATACTACATCACCACCGTCCTGCAGCACCTCGGCTTCGGCCCTCCCACCGCGGAGCACACGCGCCGGTATCCAACCCGCCTGCCCAACGACCGCCTCCCGCTAACCTTCGACACGCCGACCTTCGCCGTGCTGCTCACCCTCGTCTCCGTATACGCCGCTATGCACCTCGCGGGCTGGAACTTCGCGTTCCCGAGCCCAACCGAGCGCGTCCTGTGGCGCATATCGAGTAGTACCATGTTCGGCGCCATCGTCGTCTTCTGGATCATCGACCGCGCGGCGATGTGGTACCACAACTCGCCCCTCAGCATTGCTACGACTAGAGACAGCAGCCGGAGCTTCCACAGGATCTTCTCCTCCAACAACACCCAGCTGCCTGCGAATGCTCGCCTGCACGCCCTACCCCCAGCCGGCGCCGCCATCGAAGCAGATGTGGATGTGGGCGTGCGGAAAGTCCAGCACTACTTCTCCGCCATCGACTCCTCGCCCTGGATGGCACTCACGCTCGGCTTGATTGGTATGGCATACTCGGTTGCGAGGCTGTATCTGCTGATTGAGTGCTTTGTCGGGTTGCGGGCCCTGCCGGCAAGCGCGTTCGAGGAGGTGAGGTGGGCGCAGTTTCTGCCGCATTTGTAGTTTGGCGAGGGTTGCTACGTGGAGGATTGGGCGTAAGGGGGGCGCGGTGCATGGATTGGCAGACTCGTAGGGAAGAGCATGGACGCTTTTGCGTGGAGTGGGACTGTTTATGTGATTGGCCTTTGAGAGTTGAGGCGGGCTTGGACAGGTAGTATTGCTCGGGTGACTTTAGGATCGTTGACAGGATGTGATTGGGAACGGGCTGCGAGTTCTTCCAACAAGACACGTCCTTGCCACGACTCGGCGGCTCCCTTACATTTTCATTGTTGCTCACTGCTTAAGAGTCCCGTCAGCGAGGAGCGTTCGTTTGTGATGGTGTTTCAGCATCGTCAATGCTCCATAGTCAGTCAGTCACATGTCTTCACTTAATTCACCAACAAGCAAGTCGCAAAAGCTAAAAAGTGGATGGTCCCTCTCGGAGTCGAACCGGATCCCAGTGGGAATAAAAAAAACCAGTTCGTTCTTATTAAATCACGGCAGCCGGGGGATCTGTCTGTAGCCGCGTTGGCACGTATTTTTCGTGGTAGCAGGTAACAGGTACCTTTTGCCCGCATGCACATGAGCCAACGTACCAAATCTGGTTGAAAGTAAAAATGAAAGCTTGCAATCTATGTACCAACTGTTTTGTAGTGTGTGGCACGGTCCCGATATGTCTAACGAACCTCCCTCGCATTTGACCATCAGTCAACATCGGCCGTCATGCTTGTCATATTTCGCGACAATTTGAAACACAAGGTTGGTCATCCTATTCTCTGGTTCGCTGGACCTGCTCCCGGTTACGCAGCCTAGTCTCTCTCTCTGCTCAGAACTCTTTGAAATATCGGACACGGACCGCTTCAAGTTGCGGCATGGGGGATGCAAACGATACGATCCTGGCCGAAAAGTTCCCCATCAGACCGAGCTGCAAGACGTTTTCGAAGCGGAGGTTTGATACCTACGAACCCTCCCTATCGGTAAAATTGGTACGGATTTGCCGCCTATGAGGTGCTCCAAATTGACAACACCACCACCCGCGCTATCATGCCCGTCATAACCTCATAACCAACAGTCCAGCTTTGCACCACTCCCCCCCTCCCCGCAGACTCAGATCTAATACGGCGTCCTACACCACCTCACACGTCCCGCCAATAGCCCTCCCCCCTAACCCCCCCACCCGTTGCGCTCCTCTGCGGCGGCATCGCCCTATTCGGCGTCCCCCTACCACCCGGCCCAGGGACCGGCGCAGTAACACTCCTCATCTGCATCTGCGGACCCGGCATCATGGCCCTTCCCGCGACAGGGCCACCAGGCCGAAACGCGACATAACTCCCCCTGCTCGGGTCCCGACCAGCGCCTCCGGCAGCAGCGGCAGCAGCGGCGAAACCAGGCGGCGGATAGGGTAGTTGTTGTAGTGGCGTCGTGGCGCGCAGGCGGTCGAACTCGCCTTCCCAGTCGCCTGGACCTTGCTGGTGCTGGTGCTGCTGGTGCTGCTGGTGCTGGTGCTGCTGGTGCTGCTGGTGCTGCCGCCGGAAGTGTGGGGGCGAGGGTCGACGAGCTGCTAGTGGGAAGTCTGGCTGGGGTTGGTACGCCATACCAATCCCACAGCTCTGCCCGGGGAGCGGGGGTTCGTCTTCGAGCGGCGAGACGGGCGAGACGGCGCGGCTGTGGCTGTGGCCATTCGGGCCGGGCGTCCAAGCGCGGCTCATGGCGCTGACGGCTGTGTTTGAGCGGGTGGGTAAGGGGTCGCGGGGAGGGTTGTACGGATTCGTATCCTGCCGCATTGGAGGGGCGCTCATCGCTGTCGGGGCAGGCGAGGCGCGGCCAGGAGGGCCGAAGGGGGAGTTAAGCCGGACAGGGCTAGCGCGAGGCGGCATGTAGTGTTGGGGCCCGGCTGTGCTGCTGGAGAAGGACCGGTCTATGGGAGGCTGCCGGGGACCAGGTTGGTTGTTTCGGGGTTGCAGGGGCATGGTGGGGGAGTCGGAGCGGCCCATGTCGCCTGCGGTGCGCAGGAGGGGGGCGTTAGAGATGGTGGAGGTGTAGCTCATATCCGAGGCGGCGGTGAGCTGCGTGTTTGTTCTTGTTGGTGGGCCGGGTCGCGGGTCGATGTTGGGGAGCGTAGGATGCTCCTGCAACAGTCCAGTCTCGCTGCTCACGCTGCCCGGTGTGTTGGTTCTCGATGGCGGCTGAATTCCAAATGGCAGCAAAGTTGGCCGGGTGTCGGTTGTCGAGAAAGTGAACTGGGAGGTATTGTCGCTATCAGACGAGTTGTCTGCGAGGACAGGCAAGGTCGGTTGGCGCTTGGGTGGCATGCCAGCAGAGTGTTGTCCGGTCCTCGTGGCTTTCTGCGCTTTCGCTTCCTGCTTCTCCAATGCCTTCCTGGTCTTCTTACCGATGATCCTATCAAGACGCGAGTCAATCTTCCTCCGGCAGTAGTTGCGAAGTCGGCCGTCGCTGCTCGGGATGTAGTGCCAGAGAAACACCAGGTAGAGGATTAGAGCTATGATGAGGGAGATGGCGGAAAAGACCCAGATGACGAGGGTGAACATCATGGTAAAGAGCACGAGTGCATGCTCCTTCTCGAGCTCGTATAGCACCTTGACGTTGATAAAGAACTGCTCGAATGGCGAAGTGTGGCCATCCCCAGCGTGTACGCCTTCGGGCGCGAGGTTGGATTTGAAGGCAGCCCACAGTGTAATTCCGTTAATGACTATGCGGGGTCCTTCGGCGAGAATGATGCGGATAGCACCTGCAGTCAAGTCAGCTTTGTGGACATGAGCCAGGAGAACACAATCACGCACCTTTGAACTGGAAGTAGACAAACAGCGCAACATAATCAACCCCTTTCTTACTCTTCGTCAGCTCAGCGAAGACCAAGAACCGCCGCCATCCCCTTCCGTCCTTCCCCGGGCGAATCGACTGTAGGACAACGGCCAACGGATCCAGATAGCTCTCGGCAACCCCGCCAGCCTTCATGACTCTAAACGCCCTGAGGTACTCGAATCCAAGCAGCAACCAGGATATGATGATACAGATGGCGAACACCCATTTGGTGACATTGAACGGGACAAGTGGTAGGAACTGGCCGGGCCATTTGTTGAAGGCTAGAAGATTGACGGCGGTGAAGGTGTCGGCGGCATAGACGGCGATGGAGATGATGACAAGGATCCAGAGCCAGATGTAAGAGAGGATAGTCCAGCAGGAGTCAGAGCGGAAGTCGGACAGTGTCTGTTTGATGCGTTAGCTTGCCTCTTGGGTGCCTTCGGGATAATGTTAAAGACGACAGGAAACAAGACTAGAGGAAGCGGGTCATGGCCGCTCCAAGCTGGCAAGATCTTTCGGGCTGGGGAACGACGATATCCCATCTCCCTGAGTCTAGATCTTGACTGCTGAGGCCAACCTTAAGCGGCCAGACAGCTTCACAGACAGACTGAGAGTCCCTTGGTGCCGCAAGTGCCACCGTCGAATGACGCACTACCGCCGAGCAGACCGCAGATGAACCGCGCCCCTCAGCCTCAGAAGCCAACTTACAAGATAAGCCCATTTATGGTCCTCGGTCACTGCCTTTTCCCGGTCGCCACAACAGCCCATAGCGACTGGTCTTGTATGGGCACCAGCACGCCTTGCTAACGTCGAAAAGAATCTCCAGTCCGGCCGGAGGTCGTAGATCCAGTAAAACGGAAAGCGTGCGCTTGTCCAGGGATCTTCCTGGTATGCGCAGTGGTAGGTCGTGCGATCTATTCAGGCCGTCCTGGATACCTTCGGTATTACAGTCCAGCTGCCGTACCACCAGCGGCTTCGTGAAGGAAATGCGAGGAGTGAGCGAGTGTATCGATACACTTCCGATGAGGTCGATTCGACGTGGGCGAAAGGAATGTGCTCGTGTCAAGCTTCGAATTCTAGAGACGGTGGCGAGCTGTCCGTGGAATGTGCATGGTCTCGGGCGGTGATTCGCGCTGCGGATCGGGTTGGACAAAGGAATGTGGTTGTTCACAAAGAGCAGTGACAGTAGCGGCGATGGAGTTTGGTCTTCTGCAGACAAAGGAAAGGTCGGTTATCGTCTCAGTTAGTGCTCCAGGCGTTGTCGCACTCTTCGGTAGTGACGGTCGCGATTCTAGAGCTCACGAAGCTCAATACTCATTCTTCAGGACGAGCGCAAGTGAAGTAGTAGTAGTAGTAGTAGTAGTAGGAGAGAACGGCAATGCAAACCACAATAGTCCGCAATGTATTGTTGGCCAGCACTCAATGCCAGACCACAGCCAGACGACCAGCTGTCGCAACAGAGAGGGAAGGACAGTGAGGGAGTTGAAACACAAGCCTGGGGAGCTCCGGCGCATACAAGTCTGACGAGCGACGTTTGAGGCAGGTCGCTAGCACCCCCGCGCGCCAATCAGATCCCCCAACACACAGCGGCCGTCCCGAGGTGCCACACGGCGCTAAACCTGTTCCTATCGGGGCCGGAGAGCGCCCAGTCGGCAGCCTCCAGCGGTGTTGCGCAGAGCCGCTTGGCCCAGGCCGCATGGGCGGCTGATGGAAAGAGCATGGTCTGGAAGACGCCAATCTGATTGTTTTTTTGTGCTTGTGTGCAATCGTACCAAGTAAACGAACTCTAAGTAGCATACCCCACGCAAACCCCGAAAGTCTACACCTCCCTATACATGCAGCTTTTCTGCCCTGCGAACACCTCACAACTCATCATGAACGTCCGGCTCATCGTCTCCCGCACCCGCACCAGCACCACCGCTGTACAGCTTGCTCGTGATCGGGTAGGCGACATTACTCAGCTTCTCCTTCTGCTCGTTGAAGTCCTCCGTCGTAGCCTCCGCGCCATGCGACTCAAGCCAATCCTGCGCCTCCTTGACAGCCTCCATCAGCGTCTCCTTGTCGTCCTCGTCGATCTTGCCGCCCAGACCCTCTTCATCGTTGACCTGGTTCTTGAGGCTGTACGCGTAGTTCTCCAGTCCGTTGCGAGCCTCGATGAGCTCGCGGTGCGCCTTGTCTTCGTCGGCATACTTCTCCGCCTCCTCGACCATGCGCTCGATTTCCTCGGCTGTCAGGCGACCCTTGTCGTTCGTGATGGTGATGGACTCGGTCTTGCCAGTTCCCTTGTCGGCGGCGGAGACCTTGAGGATGCCGTTTGCGTCCAGCTCGAAGGCGACTTCGATCTGAGGAACACCGCGAGGGGCCGGAGGAATGTTGGTGAGCTCGAATTTGCCGAGGAGGTTGTTGTGTTTGGTTTGCGTACGTTCTCCCTATCGGCACGTTAGCTCTGCTTCGGTTTCCAGGCCGGGAATTGACCGTCAGCTTACTTCGTAAACCTGGATCAAGACCACCGGCTGGTTGTCAGCCGCCGTGGAAAAGATCTGAGACTTGCGGGTGGGGATGGTCGTGCCGCGCTTGATCAGCGTGGTCATGATGCCGCCGGTCGTCTCGATACCCAGGGTGAGTGGGTTGACGTCCATGAGGACAACACCTCCGACCGTCTCTTCGCCAGCAAGAATGCCGCCCTGGACGGCGGCGCCGTATGCGACAGCCTCATCGGGGTTGACGTCCTTGCGGGCTTTCTTGCCGAAGAACTCCTCGAGCATGGCCTGGACCTTAGGAATACGGGTGGAACCACCAACGAGGATGATGTCATCCTTGAAAACGTCAGCTGCAGACCTAACACTGTACAACAGCTCAGAGATAACCTACGATGTCGCTCTTCTTCAGCTTGGCATCATCAAGAACCTGCTGAACGGGCTTGAGGGTCTTCTTGAAAAGGTCGCTGTTCAGCTCCTCGAACTTGGCGCGGGTAAGTGTCTCCGAGAGGTCATTGCCATCATGGAAGGACTCGATTTCCTAGCCGTGTACGTTAGCCGAGTTAACGTCGCGGAGCAACATAAGCACTTACGATCTTGGTCGACATCTGGGAGGACAGAGTTCGCTTGGCCTTCTCGACCTCACGCTTAAGCTTGCCCATGGTCTTGGCGTTCTTGGTGACGTCGGTGTTGTGCTCCTTGTTGTACTTCTTGGTGAAGTGCTGGATGACACGCTGGTCGAAGTCCTCACCACCAAGGTGGGTGTCACCAGCGGTAGCCAAAACCTCGAAGACACCTTTCTTAATGTTAGTCTTGCCTGGTGTATAGGAGCCGGTTTGCATACCCTCGTCAACAGTCAGGATCGACACATCGAAAGTACCACCACCCAGATCGTAGACAACGATGTTGCGCTCGGACTGGTCCTGCTTGTCGAGGCCATAAGCCAGAGCGGCTGCGGTGGGTTCGTTGACAACACGGAGGACGTTCAAGCCCGCGATGGTACCGGCATCCTGCTAGGGGTTAGCTTTTGTAGGCCTCATCAATCTTGAGATACCGTACCTTAGTTGCCGCACGTTGAGCGTCGTTGAAGTAAGCCGGGACAGTCACAACGGCGTTAGTCACCTTCTCGCCGAGATAGCTCTCTGCGACCTCCTTCATCTTGCCTGTTTGCCCTTATCAGCTTATGTAAATCCATATCGGAAACCAGAGTAACGGACCCAACACCATGGCGCTAATCTCCTCTGGGGTGAACGTCGTCTCTTGATTCTTGACGTCGACCTTGATCCGGGGTTGACTATCTTTGTTGACAACGGAGAACGGGAAGTGCTTGATGTCTGCCTGCACAGTCTGGTCGTTGAATTTGTGTCCAATCAGGCGCTTCCTGCGAGCACGTTAGTGTCCGCCTTCTCTGTGATGTCCACGGTGTCCTCCTACACGTCGAATATCGTCCGGTGAGGGTTCGAGGCGTATTGATTCTTCGCGGCGTCTCCCACGAGTCGCTCGTCGTCTGTGAAGGCCACCCATGATGGCGTAATACGGTTGCCCTGGTCATTGACCAGAATCTGGCTGAAAGTCAGAAATGCTTGCGCTTAGGAGGAGAAGGCGGATTGCTGTACCTCGACCTTGCCGTTCTTCATAACACCGACACATGAGTAGGTTGTCCCCAGATCGATGCCGATGACAGGTCCTTGGATCTGAGAGTTGTTGTTCATGGTCGTTTGATCCTCTGCGCGTGCAGTGGAGCCGAGGAGGACCATAGGCGCAAGGAGGACGAGGAGAAGGTAAAAAACGGTTGACCAGGCAAAGCGGGACGAGCCCGCTGTGCTAGACCTTGGGGCCATTTCGGAAGATGTGATACGTGAGACTGCAGATGTGGTTCGCCTGCTGTATGGCTTGAGGGAGGAGGAGAAAGCGCGGAGGAATGGTTATGCGTCCCTAAGCGGTGGGCGGTGCTCTTTATTTCGCGTCCGCAGTAGAGAACGAGGAAAGCGCACAACTGGACGCAGATGTTCAGACTCAAAGAGAAGACAAACAGCAGAAGGAGATGGAATGTTGGGGGTTGAGTCTGAAAGGAGGAAAGGAGGAAAGAAGTTCTAATAATGACGGCGATTCGAAAAGACACAGGTGGCATTTACTGAATTGTGCCAGCCCGAGCTCCAGCGCTGCAGGGGTGCGCGGCCGCCCTGCCAATCAGCTGCGAGCGACGCTCACCGCCTGGATGCAGGAGTTTGCCGCTGAGATTCTGTCTATTTCGATCTCTCACGCTGAGCCTCAGCCGTAACTTCTTTGTCTGCTGATTATGAAGAGGCCACCGTGGTCCTCTATGACTGTGACACTGGCATCTGAACATGTGATCTGGTCCATCTGAAGTTCAAGGCGTTGATTTTCCATTCCTATCTTTGCCAATCGTTCCCGTAGCCTCTAAGTCCTTCGTACACTTCGTAAGCCTCTATAACAGCCAAATCTCTCCCTCACAACTTCTGCTCCTTCTTCTCCTTCTCCAGCTTATCACTCCGATGCTTCTTCCCCCTCCCACCAAAGCCCCAGCGGATCTGATTCGCAACCTGGATCTCCACGCCCAGCTCCTCGGCCCAGTACCACACCAGTCCCGGGTTCTTCTGAAACATGCGCCCCACAATCGCCATATCTATTCCCTCCTCCAGTATATCGTTCGCCTGCTTACCCGACGTGATGGTGCCTACAGCACCTACTGCCATTTTGTCACCGACAGCCTTCTTAACCTCCTTGGCGAACGGCACTTGGTATCCAGGTCCGGACTTGATTTTTTGTGCTGGGTGATTGCCGCCCGATGAGACGTCGAGCAGGTCAACGCCCTTGCTGGCGAGGATCTCGGTAAGCCGGACAGTGTCCTTCACGGTCCAGCCCTCGACGTCCGTGTCCTCGAGCCAGTCCGTCGCGCTGATGCGGAGGAAAAGCGGCATGCTATCCGGGATTGTCTGCCTCACCAGATCGGTGACTTCAAGAGTGAGTCTGGTGCGTCCCTCGAAAGAACCGCCGTACTCGTCCGTGCGCTTGTTGCTGGCCGGAGAGATGAACTCGTGCAGAAGGTAGCCGTGGGCGTTGTGGATCTCGATGGCGTCAAAGCCGCAGGCCAAGGCGCGTTGGACGGAGTCTTTGAACGCCTTCTTGAAGTTGGTGATGTCCTCTTTCGTCATCTCCTTTGGCTGGGCGTGCTTGTCGTTATATGGGATGGCGCTGGGCGCGTAGACCTCGTCCGGCCAGCCGTTGAGCTATGTCCAAACTCAGTATCTGATTTCTCCACCAGCAGACAAAAAGGTTTGTCACAAACCTCGGGCCCAGCAACCTCCCCGCTGCTCAACCACGGCGCAACCGTGCTGGCCTTGCGTCCCGCGTGCGCGAGCTGAATCCCGATCTTCTGCCCTTGGCTGTGGGCGAACTCAACGATCCGCTTCAGCGGCTCCATCTGGCTGTCCTTCCACAGCCCCGAGTCCTCGGGTGTGATGCGGCCCTCCGGCACTACTGCCGTCGCCTCAACGAAGGTGATGCCGGGCCCGCGCTGGACTATGCCACCGAGGTGAGTCAAGTGCCAGGCTGTATGGTGGCCATCCTCAGCGGAGTATTGGCAGAGGGGCGAGAGCATGATGCGGTTCTGGAGGGTGAGGCCGCGGAGAGTGAGGGGCTGGAAGAGCTTGGGGATGGGCTTGCCATCTTCTTGGGGGTCGAAGGCGGTGCCGGCGGGTGGTTCTTGCGCGGGTGTGAAGTAGGAGATCTGGTATTGGTCATGACATGTTAGCTCGTGTGTGGACGAAGAACAGAAGTTGCGCTCCCAAGAGAGCCGCAAGCGCACTGTTCGTTTACACGGCTCAGAACTCGTTCTTGAGCGTCAATTGGAAGTGAGCGGATGGCTGTATAGGCTGTAACGGAAGACAATGCGGGAATCCGGAGAAAACAGAGATAGCCTTACGCCTGGAGCTGCCTTGTTGACAATGTGAGGCTCCTCGTGGATCTTCTCTGTGACGCCGTGGTGGGAAGACATTTTTGCTATTAGTAGCTCGAGACTGAATTGACTCAAAGACTTCAAAGGAGGTGTGCAGCTGGTTTGGAGAACAGTAAAGGAACGAGGACGAGATACGCAGTTCTACTAAAACATCCCAGAGCTTGCTCTGAGGCAATGCTTACAAAACATCGCACTACCTACCGATCATCGGAAGCATTGTAACAGTCACGTCATTCCTGCAGTGGGAGTCTCACGTAACGCCATGGGAGCCGGGCACATTCGCCCTTGAATGCCCCGGAGAACAAGCCGTTAAGCCGTCGAGTTTGGATCTGCCGCAATCGCATGCGAGTTCAGGAACCACGATGGAAGTCTACGAGACGTTGCGACATCCTGAGCTGTTTCGCGGGATGACGCTAATTAGCTAGCTTTAGCGCGGCTAATTATCCTTCCTCTTCTTGCTAGTGAGAGGTTAGGGCGGCGCCTTCTAATATCAGATAAGATAGGAGCTAATAGAGCGCGGCGTGACATATTGATGGTGAGGTTCTCAGAGGGGTGTGGAGAGGTGTATATAAATCTAGCTGGTTTTCTCGCTTAAGTGGCGAGTCCTTTTGCGGCAAAAGTGTAGATTTGTTCGTCCTCTTCGTACGGCATCCAAACCAACCCAGAAGAATTCCATGCCACTCCCTTGATAATCAGACCTCGCAATCAAGCCTCTTTCACCGGAAGAGAAGCCCGATGTATTCTTTACCAGCCCTCAATGGCTGTCAGCCTAACATTCAACCCTCCCTTCGGCTTACTCGTAATCCCACCCCCGATCTCCAGCACATAGTCCTCCTTCTCCAACTGCATCTCAAACCTCCCCGCCCAAGCCGCGACCAAGCACGCAAACTCTGCCTTCGCAAACCCCTGCCCAATGCAACTCCTCGGCCCATGCAAGAACGTCAAGAACGAATAGTTACTATCCGCCCCTCCCGTATTAGCTCTGCCGGGCCCAAGCCAGCGCTCCGGGTTGAACTCTAGCGCATCGTCGCCCCAGAGCTCTTTGCTGACATTGACGGCCCACGGCGAGATGATGATGGTGGTATCCTTGGGGATGAAGTGGCCGAGGATCGTGCTGTCGTTCGCCGCTGCTCGTAGGGTGAGTCCAACGGGCGAGAAGACGCGGAGGACCTCGTTGCAGACGGCGTTGAGATACGGCAGGCGATCGATGTCTGTGGAAGAGACCTGTGCTGCTGGGTCGCTGATCGAGGGTAAGCCGCTTCTGATTTCCTCCCGTAACCGGCGCTGCACGTCTGGATGCCGGCAGAGCAGGTAGACAGCCCAGGTCAGGGAGGAGGCGGTGGTCTCGTGGCCCGCGGCGAGGAACGTCATGAGTTGATTGACGAGATCCTCGTCGGTGAAGCCGCCGGATTCAAGCGCTACGGAGAGGATGTCAACGTCGGTGCGCTCGGCCTTCTCGAGCTTCTGCTTCTTCGCTTGGATCATATCGTAAGCTGTCCGCTTAATCACCTTGGAGGCTTCCATCACCTCTTGGTTGCGCTTGACCGGGAGTGCGCGCAGGAACCACAGAGGGAGTATGAAGCCCAGCATCCCCAGGACGCGTGCGCTGCCAGATTGCGAGAAGATGTTGCGGTAGGTTTGATACAGCTCGTTGTTGGGGTCTTGCACAGCGTTGAAGTCTTGGCCCATGCCGGCAACCCCGATAATGTCGAGCGTGACTCGAGAAGCCCAAGTGCTGATCTCGAGGACGGAATTGGGCTTCTCGTCCGTGGAGGGCTCTTGGATGGCTTTTGTCATCGCTTCAGTGACTTCGCGAGATTTGGACCAAAAGACTGGATAGAGGTCTTTAACGTGGCGGAATGAGAATGCTGGCATGAGGTTCTTTCGTTGCCGCTGTAACGACATCAGCGAATATTTCTGATGAACCAAATGTGGGCGTGAATCGACTGACTTTGTGCTCATCGCCCTCAGCCAGCAGTATACCAATGCCTAGAATCTGTCCGATGCCTTCTCTGAGCCGCTTTGGCTTAATGAACTCATAATTCTTGGTGACTAGCACTTCTGCAAGCGCTTTAGGCGACGTAAGCAAGACCCGCTCGTCGTTGAAAGCAAACTGATATCGTATAATGCCGTCGTTTGGCACTTCTTGCACCCATTGTCTTTGAGGTTCACCTGCTGGTTCCCTCATTATTTTGAAAAAGTGGCCCATGAAGATCGAGCCTCCCTGCAAGCATATTCGTTAGAGTAAGCGTGAGATACGTTACGAGATGGCTCACTGAAGGCTTAGGAATGTCCCGCAGCGGACTGAAGAATGTTGGATACAGAACGATGCTCCATGTTGAAGATGCTGATAGCAGGACGGTATAGATGGCTATGGTAGTCCAAACTGCGGAATGTCGAATAGTATATGCTTCCGCATAACGGCTCAACAACAGGGCTATGACAGTAGACACAAGGAACAACGCCTTCTTGGAGATCTCCATCGCGCCTGACCTAAGGCGACTGGCAAGGCGTTTGGGGGATTACAAGTGGCAAGGGATGACACCCTGATAGATCTGCTGCTCAGAAGAGACTTGACACGACAAAAAACACGCGATCCAAAAACCTGACCGTATCTTAAATGAAAAGCAACAGATGACAGAGGCCACGACGACTTCTAGGTATCAGCATCATGCGCGCCAGTGAGACGGCTGTGCTAACCGCGGTCGTCCTATTCGGGTCTAGCAAAACATCGCGGGAGGTTTCAACGTCCGATTCCGTCTCCAGCCGTCAACGCTCGACCGAGCTCTTTGACCGAGTCTTACTCATTCTAAAGAAGACATCAATGCCAGTGTTGGAATGACCGTTTGCTTGCTGTTCATGTTCTTTCGTTCGGCGTGTCTTCGTGGCTCGATGACAAGGTGAGGGTGGGGGAGCTCCACCGGGTCAAACAACCGTTTCCTTTCGTGGCCCGGAACAACCGTCCAGATCTCGTATTTCCATCCCTAAAGCTGCAAAGCCTGCAATCTTATCAATCTTTTAGCCAGAATTGGTTGTAGAGACGCTGGCACGCTCGCGTGTTTAGTGACATCAAGCGTCAATGGAGCCAGAGATGTGTCAACCAAGCTTTTGTTTGAAGTTGACACAGATCCGTCCTGTCGGTCAGATGCCGTTTTCTCTCAACCTTCAACAGGTTTTTTATTGTTCCCGTATAGGCTCTGGCTCTAGCTGTAGAAGTGGACGAAAAGCAGCATCAATTTCAACGCATTTGTATAGCCAAGATGGACTTGTTGTAATGACCCACGGATTTGGCCGGCCTCAATACACACACTGTTCAGTACGCCGGCAGAGATTTGCTCTACTAGTTCTTTACGTTGAAAGTTCGTCTTATTCGCGCAGCTGTTTAATCGGCGGCTCCTGAGACAGTCCTACGCCTTTTGTCTTTATCGTTACAGAGATGCAATACTCAGTCAACTTGTGAGCAGTCTATCTAATGGCTCTCTCTTGCCGTTTCTTCATCTCCCAAGTCACAGTTAAGCCATATGTCGGCAATCCACGGCCGAACGATAAACCGAACGGCAAAGGTCCAAGACTCTACAACTCTCTTGTTTGGTCAGCTGACTCTGAGGTGTCGGACCGGAAGACCATAGATGAGTATGTCCGGTCACGCCAGGCGGGAGTCTGCTCTATTCTGACAATTCACCGTCTGCGAGCGCTGTTGTGCCGGTAACCCCCTAGTCACGCCTCCAACATCTGCAGGCCTGAGACAGTCACTCGGCCATGATGAGTCCCGCTCGTCATCGGAAGACAATGACAGCGCATGCGCATGGTGTGCTAGCGTATCCCATTCACTGTGTCGTAGTCTTCTTATGTCTTGCTGCAGTTCCGCCCCTTTGTCTGCTTTCGTTTGTCGTATTCCAGACAACATTGTCGACTGCTGCACCTTCCTCTCAGACCTCCCTCTGCACAAACTGTCTTAAACTCAGCCAAAGTCTCCGGTCCAAAGGTACATAGCTATCTCTCAGGACTGAACATTGACTCGTTCAGAAGAAATGGCAACCGCTACGCCCCGTCGGGAGCCTCATACAGAGTTTAGAGACGTCACTGCTCACACTGCAAAATGCGATGTGTGCAATCAGAAGAACAAACAGATCCTCAAGCGTTGCCTAACATGCTCCTGGGGGATCTGCACACCATGCAGCAGGGACAGAGGTGACAATCTTACCCATGGTGCTGCCTCTGGGGCAAGCTATCCGAGGCCTACGCCTATACCTAAACCGCCGACGCCAGCACCAAAGGCGGAAGACATAGAGGCTTTCGATCTGACGAGTGAGACTTCGCAATCTACTCAAGCATCGGCGACCACCAGAGGCAAGGGTAAGAGCCGTGCCACAGCGAGCTCCACCCAAGCTGCTGCTACCCAGCACAAGAGGAAAGCCCGCACGATCATCGATTCCGAGGATGAAGACGGTCCCTCTGAGACGTATATCCCACGTCCAACCAAGTCCGGCCGCACGCTGTTTAACATGCCGCCACCGACCTCTCCAGACCCTTCGCGTCCGGGTTCACCTCCAGGTCCAGCTACGCCTCGAAGGACATCAACTCGGCGAAAGACTGCCGAGACGACCCGCAAGTCAGCTATGAAGAGAGCGGCGGAGAAGAGCACGCAAGGCGAGGCCTCGAGCTCTGCCACAACGAGCCAAGCAGCCTCGCGGCATGAGAGAGCTATGCCAGGTCCAGTCCTTGCGAGACCACCACCCGACGCAGATCAGTTCCGAAGAAATGTGACATCTCTGTATGGTCTTGCAAGGACTGACAGACTAAGCGGTGCGGAACGAAGACACCGGGTTGTGACGATCGCACAAGGGCTGATTGACAGACAAAATCAAGATGGACATGGTCAGGAGGGTGCATCGACCGGAACATCAACAGGCTCTTCCTACCCAGCACTTACTGATGGATTGATGACCTTGGGTCTTGCTGCTGCGCATCAGGAAGGATACAGACAACGACAGCTCATCCAGGGATCTGCAACACTGCGTCACGAGCCTCGCCGCCTTTCGCCTAGGGAAGCCTCAACCGTAAAAGAGCATAGAGCGCCTTCAGCTAGCGCTGCATTTGGAGACGCCAGAGCAAGCGAACATACCTCCAAGGAAGCATCACTCCTTCAGCATGATTTTCGACGGGCGCAACAACAGCCAGAGCCTGATACCTATGAACCTCCACAGCGTACGGAAACCACAACACCCCAGGAAGAAGCCGTTGCGCAAGCCGTCGTGCGCTCTATCTTCGTAGCTCGAATGAGCCTTTCGAACATTGAGTTTCATGCCACCATGACCGCAGCATCCGATGCAGTGAAACGCGCGGATGAGGAGCGGTACTGGGCAGAGATCAACCCATTGAGAGGTCTTCTTCACGCATCCTCTCAGTTGGCTTCAGGGGAGCTGTCGCTTGCGCCCTCGACTCCTAGTTTAGTCTTGCCTCGACCACCGCGTGGGAGCGAACCCGTGGCCGCATCAGAGCTTTCAGAACCGTCGCACAGTGTTGTAGAAGTACCGCAACGACAGACCTTTCAAGTTCCACAGGCACCCCATCGAGCAAGCCCAAGGGCGATCGAGCAGCCAATCAATATTGCTCCGAGTGGCAGCTTCTTCAAGGCAGTCAATGAAGGTCCTCGGGACAGCGATTTCGCTGTATCCTTGATTCCTTTAACGGTTCATCAACAAAACCACCTCCAGGAGCCGACACAGGCAGTTGCTGGGCCAAGTACCCAGAGGAGCAGCTCCAAGCGTAGCCTCTCCATTGGTGATCAAGAAAGCACTTTGAAGCCAAAGCGGCACAGGCACGAGGCATCGAGGGATGACTTGACGCAAATTCAGCGCAGTTCTCCCCGTAGCAAAGGGAGTGATTTGTCAAGCATCGACACAGAGCCGGTGGATACTCCTTCGCGCACATGAAGTGCTGCACATTATCCTCACTCGACCTGCAAACGCTGGCCCCCCGCGCTCGCCATAGGTCACTCACTCGCTCGCCAGATCATAGGAAGTAGAGATTCGCTTGCAGGTGGTACAATCTAAACGGATCTAGTGGTGAAGGGATGGATATATGGGATATACTGCATATTCATAGGCGTTGTTCTTAGGTTTACTACACCATAGTGGCATAGATGGAGTTGCTTATCTGCGGCGGTCTATGTGTGGATTCTCAGACACACTGTAGCGTAGCGCTCCCGGGGGTTTATGGTACATAACGAAACTAATAAAGAAGCATGGCGGGCAAGCCTACCCCGATCCGATGCAGACAACTGAAAACGCCTGTGATAACTCTCAGAACCGTTTGCACAACGCCAGCCAATGCTACATGCAAGTAGAAAGTTTTGATGGCAGCGAGATCAGAATACGCCAGATGATAATCTTAAAGACGAACGCCTCGGTTTCCCAGGTATCACCTTCCCCCTTGCGCGCCCTTCCTATCCACCCCCAGCGCCTCATCGAACTGAATAGTAAGGGCACCCTTATCAACAGCCTCCACATGATCCCAAGGCCCCTCGCCCTCCCCATCGTCCCCAGCGCTCCGACTCAACCAAGTCGCCTCATCCTCATCCGCATCGGAACCGCTCGAAGGGGATCCGCTGCCAGGGCGTTGACTCGGCAGCTGGCTCGGCGGAAATCGTTGACTGAACAGCCGAGCATACTCAGTGTGCAGCTTTGGCCCTGTTGTTTCAGTGTGACAGACTTGCGAGACATCGATCAGTTTGCTATAAAGGGGTGATCCGGATTAGTTCTTGGTTTCCCGGCCAAGGGACGGAGAGGTAGGGGTTGGGGGAAAAGAGGGAGGGTGCGGCCGCTACACGTACTCAGACGTCTGCGCACATATCCGCTCCAGCGCGTCGCGCTGCCGCCGTATCTCCTCCTGATCGGGCTCTTGGCGCCCGTTTGCGCCGCCGCGGTTGATGGTGCCGTATTGGGGCTCGTATTGGTCGGCGAGGAGTTGAGAGGTGTCGGATGGCTGGACAGGGAGCGCAATTAGATTGACGCAAGCTTAAAGAGGGCTCCAGGGGCGCCGGTGTCTTACATCGGACTGTGAAGGCCGTCGGTCAAGCCCGAGGCAGGAAGCGCAGATGCCCATGGATTGTGAGGTTCGGCACAGCGGCGGCTAGGAAGGAGCGGAGGCGGAGAATATGTGGCGAGCGGCCGGCATTGGCGTGTAAGATATGCTTTAGGAATCAGTGAGAATGCAAGCGGTCTTGTAACTAGGTGTAACTATCACATGAAGTGGTGGTGAGCTGTGAGCGGCTGGATTACGGAGTTGAGCCGATCTCTCATCTGCCAAGGCTGTTCCTGCATCTCGCCAAACCTCACTCGCCATCCCATTCCCCTCTCCACACCTTTCGGCATACCACTCTTACTTCTGCCGTGGAAGCCCATAGTACACATTCCTCGGAACGATCTTGCCGAGACATTGAACAAGATAGTTTCAATGACCAGGTTGTGCTGTCGGGTCTCCTTGATCAGATTGACCGATCTTGTCAGAGGCTTGGATTTTATTGGATCAGTGTATCAAATGTTCATTGAACGCGTCGACCTGGCTCTTAGTCTAGGTCCTTTTGATAGTGTACTTTGTCAGTTTGAAGTATTCTTCGACTCTATCTTCGCTTTCGGTCTGTCTTGAGCTGCCTCCTCTTTACCAAAAGTTTTACCGACTTCCTTACTGGTGCAACGCGCATCGCGTCCCTTCAGTAAACGTGAAATCCTAGCCCTTTCGAAGCAGAGCAGAGCTATGAAGGCTCGGCAGGTATGTGAGGTGATGCGTGGAGTTCGAGTACAACGCCTGGGGAGAATGGAATGAAGCAAGGGTGCGAACAGCAGAACATACACCCTCCGAACCGGAAAGGGGAAACTGACCCCTTCATTCAGTAGAACACATTGGTTTGTGCCAAGTAAGGTCATTCTTTTGCGCGTCGAAAACACGAGACGCGCGAACTCCTGTTCTGTCTTGTGCCACTTCTCCACGTTCAAGATGGCTTGCAAGTCTCCTCGCCTCTGCAAGGCGTGCGGCTCCCCCAGCTAGAGAACGGTATCAAACTTATTCCGAAACTGAGCAGAGGAGGCTGGTCCCTCATGTTTTAGTCCTCATATCCGTTATAAAGTATCTTGTTGCTCTGCTGTGTCTCGTTTCCCCAACTACAGCGACATTCTTTTGTTGCTACGACTCGGGTAGTCTTCGTTCGTTCGGACTCTCAGTCATGTATATCGCTCGTTCATTACTGGCTTCGGCCCTCTTCCTCTCGCTTCCTGTGGTTCAGGGTGCCGTCGTAGAAAGGAATCCCGCCCAGTATCACGATGCAAGAGAGGCCGGGTTCTGGCGCCAGGCCCAAAACATTGTGTTTGGCAAACGACAGCAACCGTTGATCTGTGTTTCGGACGACTATTATGGCATCATCGCAACATATACCCCAGCAGCGCAGTTCTGCGCAAAACTCCTCTCGAGGACAGCATCAGTAGAAATAGAGGTCACACCAACCTCGTCAGTTTGCACTGCCGCCGCTAGCAATTTAATCCTGGTCATTTGCTGATCAATCACTAGAACCGCTACCGCTGTTACAGGGACCGTCATAACTACTATTAATGCCATAACTCGGATTACTAGTACAAGCACCGCAACTGTAACCTCCACAACAGTCGTGTCCGCAATCGCGTCGCCATCTCCAACCGCTCTTGCACTACGGCGCGATGCTCGTGCCGACATCCAAGCTGTAGTTGAGGCCGTCGTCAATGGTACCGACATATCATCCATCATGGGCGCTACACAAGCTTCCGACTTGGCTTCCATTGGGTCCGCCTTGTCAAGTGCATGCGAATGTCTAAGCTTGACTGACATCTTCACGAACACAATCACGTTCACTGCGCCAACCTATGTAGGGTACATCTACAATTACTTCACGAACGCGTACTGATGGAAAGTAGGTCACGACTATCGAAGGGTTCCTGAAAACTACGACTACCGCTATCTCCACGAGATCGTACACGGTAACTGAGACGGTTACTACAATTGTCTCGGTGGTTGATTCGGGTCCTGTGACCGGTACTGCCGCGAGCACCAGTGGGATAGCAAGCTCGACCGTTCCAGCCATTCTGCCGACCGTTACGATACCATCGTTCACTTGTCCAGACAACCATCAACAGGTCATAGCCAATTGGATCAGTGGGCAACAGTACAAATATCAGGTTTTCTGCGATGCGCTTGTGGTAGGTGTCGGCGCTCTCAGTTCCTACAACTATTCAAGTCCTGCCGACTGCGCCGCTGCGTGTTCCGAGCTTGATTTCAGGCTTAATGGGACTACGTGCAAAGCAATGTCCTTCAATGCCACTGCGACCTCGGGCGGCAACTGTTTCCTCTATGGAGACGTACCAGCCCTGGTAAACAGTCCTGGAGTCATCAGCGCTCTTTTATCAGAGATTATCCTTTCCAATGGCGCGTCGCTCTTGCCTGCCAACTCGACAGGCACAAGAGCGCCCAGTCCGGAAGACACCAGTTCTGCGATCAGCGCTGTCGCAAATCCTGCCGTAATTACGGCACCTCCAGCATCATGCCCTGCAACCGTCGGATCTTCGACCTATTGGTCAAGTGGAATTACACTTGAGAATGGCTGGTACAGCTACTCATGGAGCTGGGCTGCGTATACAGCAGAATGCTGGATTTCCTCTTGGGCAACGGCAACGACTCAGGTCTATGCTTCCACTTGGACAGTTGTTATCCCGGGCCAGTCAGGAATTAGTGGAGGCGCTGTTGCAAGTGCCAGTGCCGGCGCTGGTGCGGGTGTCTCACTCGGAGGCGGAGGAGTGGTCACGTTTGTCTCGAACGGCATTACAGTGGTATCGACAATTGCAAGCGCAGGCGCTACTGGTGGTGGGGGCGGTGGTGGCGGCGCGTCTGCAGGTGCAACTGGAGGTGGGATACCTTCACAGACAGCTGCTGCTTCCGGAGCTGTGCCCACAATCATCGTCACAAACGAAACAACCATCGTGTCTTTCATCTCGGGTGCTACTGGCGGTGTAGGATCCAGCGCGACGGGTGGGGTGGGCGGAGGCCTTGTACCGTTCCCGAATGCTACAACCATTTTGTCTGACGGATCCACGCTGGTTTACAGCACAGGCGGTGTCGACCTTGGCTTCACAACCGGCGGGGCCACCGGCGGGGGTGGAGGCCTGATTCCCCCCAGCTTGGGCACTGGTGGCCCGTCCACGGTCATCCTATCTACCGGGGGAGAAGTGATTCTGAGCACTGGTGGTGTCGATGTCAGCCTAGTTGGCAGCGCATCTAGCGGAGGCGGCGGAGGCCTGCTCCCTCCCAGCCTTACCGCACCTGGCGTTCCAGACTCGACCGCAGTGATCACCTCAGGGGCCAGCGTCGTCCTTAGTACAGGTGGAGTTGATCTCAGCTTTGCAAGCAGTGGGTTCAGCACCGGCGGGAGCGGCTTGATCGCGCCAGCCCCAAGCGGGGCTCCTCCGACCTTCGCCAACTCCACAGACATTGGTGTGGAATCGAACGCTCTGACTTACCTCACTGGTCAAACTGTAACCGGCCCCGTGGGCACCAGTCTGATTACTGGAGAAAGTGGTTCTATTCCACCGACTTCAGGCTCACCTGTCTTCGCAAACCTCACCAGAGTTGATTCTACTGGATCAACTGTTGTCATGAGTACAGGTGGTGTTGAGACCGCCGTCATTAGCACTGGTATCGCAATATCTGGAGGTGGCCTCATCCCGCCAAGCTCAGGCTCGCCCGCCTTCCCGAATATTACCGCAGTTGAATCGGCCGCAAGCACTACTGTCTTGGGCACAGGCGGCGTTGATACCAGCTTCATCAGCACAGGCACTGCGGTCTCTGGTGGCGGCTTGATTCCCCCCTCGCCCACCTCGGCCCCGTTTCAGAATAATACGGTGCCCTCTGGCACTGAAGCGCCGCCACTAGGCACCGGAGGTGAGACGGCACCACTAAACACTGGAGGTCCGACGGCTCCGTTAATCACTGAGGCTCCGACGGCTCCATTGACCACTGGAGATTCGGCATCTTCATCAGCCAACGATACGTCCGCAGGAAGCTATGGTGCACCTGGTGGAATTCGGAGTGGTACTTATCGGACCTCCTCTTCGGGGATGATCTTCGTGACGACCGAAGTGCCGACGGCACCACCCTTCCCCACAGCGAGCACGAACACCAGTGACATGGGCGTTGGTCCTACTGGAGGAAGTCCGTCTGATATGTGGTCTTCAGGCATCAGTCCTTCGCCAACCGGAAGCACACCTTTCCCGCCGTTATCGACTGGATTCAACGACACCGTTCCCAGTACATGCCCATGCTTACCACAACCGACATGTCCGCCTGTGATCACGAACACGGTCACAGTCCGCGAATACATCACCGTAACCAACTGCGCAGGCTGCCCGCCGGGCTCCTTGGGTACCGGCGGTCCATCCTACGGCCCGCTCAACACGACCATGGCCCTGCGCCGCGCCTTCGGTGAAAGTGCGACTGAAGCCCAGATCGCCGCCGCCTGCGCGAACACCGGCTCCCTCGTCACCAATGGCGGCTTCGAAACCACGAGCCAGGACTTCGGCGCCCAAGGCTGGTCCGATAGCACGGCCAGCACCTCGATCTACTTCCTGACGCACTCGAGCGCCACTGCACATGGCGGCCTCCGCGAGGGCCGCTTCGTGAGCTCAGAGACCGGGGCTGCGATCCGCATCTCGCAGCCCCTGACGCTGTGCCCGGGCAGGACGTATGCACTCAGCGCATACCATCGCCAGACGAGCGACCTTATGCAGTGCGAGGTCTGGTACAGCTTGGGTAGTGAAGAGGTCTTTAGCGATCAGCCTGGTACTGTGTATGAAGGACAGTCAAATTTCTATACCGCGGGAAGCAGCGCGGCGGACGTGAGTCTTGACTTGGATATCACGGTTAGGTGCTCGGGCCAGAAGGATGTGGATGGTCAGATGGTGCTCGATGTGGATGATGTGGCGTTGAGGGCGGTATAACGGATGATGGTCCATGAGGACGGCTGCGGAGGGCATAAGGTAAGAGGATAAACGAGTTTTGCAGGAAGTGGGGAAAGGAGTGGTTACGCATACCTTCTAGCATTATTTGGCCATTGTTGTAGCGTGTGTTAGTGTTGTCGGAGTTTGGGTTTGTCAAAGGCTATCACAGTGCGAAGCACAGCGAAACGATTGAAAAGATCATTATGAATCACCGAGCGAATCTCTGAAATCCACAATGTGCCGTATGACCAACGGAGCATATCAAGAGGTAAGAGAACCTCAAGGCTCGAGTGAGGTAGTGGATGGTTTATTCATCCGCTGTGCCAGAGAGCCGGTGGATGCAAGCCGTGATACACAAGTTCGGAAGAACAGGTCACGTGAGCATTCACGCGGCTCGATGTACTTCTCCCACAACAGCCAGAAAGCAGCTCAGACTCTGTACAAGGAGAGTGGTAAGATACTGATTCACAAGTGTCTTTTTGTATGTTATCATAAACAGACCGTCGTACACTGAGAACAATCAGACCAGAATGGGAAAGATCTTGCATGTGGATGCCGAAGGACGCAGTTCACGGCCGCTGTTTAGGCACGATGGGACAGTTGGAAGATCCGCCATATCGCCACCTCGACGTGCTGTCAGAAGTACGAGTAGAAATCTGAACGGAAACCTTCATTGTCAGATCCGATGCAATGTCAACGGACGTGGTGTGCATTGCCGCCGCAATGACAAGCTTCAACTTGCTCTTAGGATCGCAAATTTCAGAGAATCGGTGGCCTATTAATAGCGACAGTGGTAGGTGTGAACATCGATTGGATATCAAAGCCGATGTAAGTGGGTGCCTCCTCGACGGACGCAGGATGGTAAGTCGGGCCTCAAGATATGTGACTTCCAAACGCCGGGACAGATCACAGGATAGCCATGCATCCTACGGGATGAAGACAGTGTATTGGTTGCCTCGGCGGAAATCGTGTGTTGCGAGGTTGTTTGAATCTTAATCATGCGCGGGAAGATCTGCTGTAGGATACGCACGCTGATTGGCCGACAAGCATCCGCCGGGCTGGGATCAGGGTTGCAACGACAAACATGCGAGGTTTTCCAGAAGGCATGCAACAGCGATTGTTAATCCGTCCTCTGCGCTCGAATTGACAGATCAGCAATATCAGTTACGATAATGGTGAATCGTTTGGGTTCTCCGTGGTGTAGACAGGCACACTGTACAAGCAAGGGAAGGAAGTAGGTAGTCGCCCAGTAACGTCTTCCGACAGGGTTCGTACGAACCAGGAGCAGATGCAGATGCAAAGAGCCAGTTCAGGCTCCGGTGTGGGTCGTACAAGCGCCAAAAAGGAAACGACCAATATGCATATGAGCGGTTCTCCACACAAGACGGTGTTGTTGGCCGTCGATAGGCTGGTCTGTTGAGTGGCGTAGGAAATATGCGACAACGACGAAACTCTAATGAGAAAGGACACGGGATCAAGAGCAAATAAAAGAAACCGGCCCCGCCATCTGATGGATGATGAAGTGTGGCGAACAACGAAGGCCACGAGAATCACGGACCAGTCAAAGACCGCCACGTATGCCGACGCAGACTGAAGTGATTCTTCTAAAATGAAAACGACGGCCATTTTACATCTGGACTGGACGTTCCGGACAACCTAGCCGGAACAGAGAGGGGTTCTCTTGAGCATTAGAAAGGGAGAGGTAGAGCCGCACGCAAGAGCAAGTATATCCGCATTCCTCCTTGGCCATTGGCTCTTACGCTACGAAGGAAGACCCTAGGCTGACAGGAACAGTGGAAAAAGATACTGATTCGAAGAAGAGATCACTTGGATGAAAGACTGCAATGCAGCAGGGGAAGACCGTCCAAATTCTGACCATTACTTCCCGAACGACCGTGCGAACTCAAACTCACACTTACCATCTGCAACTCCGGGCGATATGGCAGTATGAGATGCCCCCAATACATCCTGTTGGCCACCGGCTTGCCGCAGGAAGCTCCGCATGGATCTGAACGCTGCTGCATGCACATGTGTGTGCAAAGGAGCTGGAGGAGGACGAGATGTGGAGAAGAGTTGAAAGAGGCTAGCTTGTGGATCACGTGCAGCGCTAGAGTTACAACGTCTCCCCGCCCGAGCAACCTCACATCATTGACAACATCAACGGCACACGAGCACACGTCTTGTCGGCAGTAGCAGTCACATCCACCTGGGCACAAGAGTAACAGGCATGCTTTGTGTGCTAACAGGCGGACCGTGGCGCCGTCCCGCGGGAGGAGGTTGGCGATCGACCTGGCACTGCTATTTTGGACACACCGCACGGACTGGTTCAATATCAGCCTCTCCCGGGATTTCTCAGCGGCTATATCACTTTCATTGATTCGACTCTCGGATATTGAACAAAAGGGATTCGTTTCGTTCCCAGTACCCGCTAAGAAGGATGATCAAAGAAGAACAAGTTGTCTCATGTAACGCTCACCGATCCGAAATGCCTTTCGCTCGTCCGTATCAGTCTGCCGGCATCGAAACAAGACTCAAACCGAGAAACGAGTGGAACCCGAAGCCACACGAAAAAAAAACTGGCGGTATATGAAACGAGAAGCCCCTGCCCCTATCGACACTAATGGGCACTGCCAATGCCTTGAAGCCGCCTCTGTCTCTCGCAACTGAGCTCATAGACCTCAGCGTCAAGACCGCGTATGATCTCCATGGCCTTCTCAATGGACGCTCTGAACTTGCTGCCTTCGCGCTGCCACCGGCTGATACGGTCTACTTCCGCCGTCCGACGTCGCATCTTCGTATCGATCTTCTCGCAAAGCTTGCATTTCTGGCCGACGGCCACCGTCTGCATGATCAACTTCATGCCGCATGTTTCGCCAATGCGATACTCCCGATTGCAGTGCTGTCTGAAGTGGCCCCACTTCCAGTCGCCGCACGCAAAGCGGTGCTGATCGAAGAAGCACATGTCTCAGGGGGCAGGCAGTGTTGAGATGCTTCCATGTGTCAGCCTCATGAAACAGATGCAGGTACAAGAGCTGAAGCTGGCATACCTGTATATTGCTAGTGGAAGAAGATGCGGCTCGATTGATTGGATGATCGATAGTACCTTCGAGTATCATAAGCACAATGTGGCTACTGATGGTTGACTAACGTCTTACCAGGGCTTCGGTAATGTCACACTGCTGTGACAAGAACCTAGTATGGACAAGAGCACGGATGGCTTTGCTTCGGTGTCTCGGATGGTGGCCAGCTGTTGACTATGCTTCGAGGGGAGTGGAAGAGCAAGACAATCCTGTTGAAGAGGAGAAAGAGACGAAACCTCGACGGTTTCGAAGCCGCTATTTATGCCTCGTTCAGCTCAATCCTCATCGACACGATCAGCTCACGGCTGCTGTCATCGAGCCAAACATCGCTCCTTTCGTCCCTCCCTGAGCGCTGGGAAATCCTACCCCACCCGCCATCGTCCAACAATATCGCCGCGATCCCTCGGATCCTCTTCGTGTGCCGCTAAGCTGTCAGGACGTGGCCTGTGATGGTACCCTAGGGACTGCCCGAGCGCTCCAGACATGCACAGAGATATCACATCCCGCTAGGACCACGGTGTCATGGCTTCCTGTCCGGGTATCTTCTCCTTCCGAAGGCAAAATCCCTCATTGACCCTGTCCCGGTGTTTCATCAGCTATGCGTTGAGCGGCCTGGGCACTTTTTTCTGGTGTCGTTATGATATCCCACCCCGGAACAACGTTGGTGGGCGTTTTCAGCGTTGAACCGAGTCTGGTCACGTGGCTTTCTTGGACGGTTGGTCTAACTTCTCTCCGCTCGTCGACTGCCTCAGGTAATCGATTGGGCAGTGCTTCTCCTCTACGTTGGTACGACATCAGCCCGAGGCGCGGAGGTACCAAGAGTGATACAGATGGCCTGTCACGGCGAAGCCAATGGTTACCACTCTGACGTTCATCAGCAAAGCGGTCCCACGCTATCCGCAAGCCTCCTGGAGTCCCTTGGCAAAGTCACATTCGTTTTACAAACCATCTTGCTTCTGTTCTTCCCGGGTCTCGCCTTCAGAGCGGTCTAACCACATATGCGACTGGTCCGCAACTTGTGCGATCTGCTTGGGTCCCAGCTAATCAAGATGCGTTTAGGCTCGGCGCCTCATTCGTAGGAAGTCTCCCCGACTCTCACTCTTGTCGACATGTGTCCTTGCATTGCTCGGCGCAGACGAGCCTGCTGGTTCAAGTGGTACCACATGCGAGCGGCACTGCCCAGTCACCTTATCTGCCGCTCATGCAGCAGCAATGAGTGGGTCACTACTTGATAGTGCCGTGTGCTACCGTCGCCCCTCTGGTTTGAGCCCATGCACCGTGCATGGCCCGGGTGGAGCAGTTCTTCTCAGCTGATCATCTTCCCGTCCCACAAGCCTGTCCTTCCGCATCTAGCCTATTGTTGGGCAGCCTAGTTCATGCAGGCTGATAGACGTCAGACGTGAATCGACCGGATGGCGACGACGCGGGGTGGCATCCGACCCGCCATTGCAGATCGAGGCAATCCTTTGAACCCCGGGTGGCACTAGGTTCGACCAGACCTGCCCCATCGAAGATCCTGTGACGTGGCGAGCGCGGTATGGTCGACTTATCATAAGGCCGTTTTTCCGAATTATCCGTCATTCAGTCAAACTATGACCTGGCTACCCACTGCACCATACTTGGCCTCGCTCGTACTGTGGCAAAGCATGGGATGCCTGCTCTGGCTCGCAGAAACCTGTCGTAGTCTCACGCAATTGGGGAAAGATCAGATAACAAGCTGGAAGGCTTCACCGGTAACCCCGCCTTCCAGGCGTCTATCGCGCGGTATCTGCTCGCAGTAATCGAAGATTTGCCCTCGGAGTGGCGGGATACGGCTTGCTACACCACTCAATTTATCACCAATATCAAGGCTACCGTCGACATCAAGGTTCTTGCCTGACGGTTGAAGGCCGCCAAAATGCACGGATTCGCTACCCGCGCAAGCCATCAACAATTTCGCCTATCACGTAGCCATCGTGTCGTCTGGCATTGGCAGAGGAGAAAGTGGCTGGGCTGTTGATGTTGTGTCTCGGCGCAGCAGCTCGCTTCCCGCTTTCGACAGTCCAGCACCACCAAAAACCGCTTGGCGCACCATCCCTTCAGGCCCGTAAACAATGCCGACTCACGTAGCCTTGCCATATGCACATTGTCTCTAGCCCTTTCTGAAATTATTGGCACGACTCAGCCCGCTAGCTGACAGGTTTTTGTGCGGTAGCGACGGTCTTGTGAACATTCTCACTTCACCGTATGGTCAGTCGACGTCAAATTTTACTACATGCAAGCGCGCGTTCAGCTGGTACTCTAATCGATCATGTGAATGACAAGAGCTGCTGGGTATGCAGCGGCAAACGGCGCGTGTCTTTATTCACCTCACCGCAACGGGACGGAACGAATGAGCAGGCCCGTGTGGGCCGTTGAAAAACTCGAGGTGGAGCAAGCCGAGCGGCAGCCGAACAGAAAGCGCTCTTCCGAGGCATGTGTGGTGGGCCGCTCGTGAACGAATTGGGTGAAGGCGTAGACGAGGGCTGAGTATGCTGGCTGATTGGACGACGCCAGGTTGCGGAGGTCGCTGTCGTGCAGATGCATTGCAGCTGCAGCTTGGATTGGTCGATTTTTATGGCCGCAGTAGCGTCGACTGGTTGCTTGGGAGGGAGCTGTTGGGCGATTCGCAACTGACACTGTATCTTGCAACGGTCTTTGGGGATAGCCGTGGCATTTCAGAACCTTTATGTTGAGCCTTATGAACATTGATGAGGCGGCAAGGCGGTAGGAATGAAGCAAGGTGCCGTCATCTCGACACGCTGTCTTCCATTGCTTCACTCTTGGTGTCCAAAACACCTGCTGCCAACATACCCACATTAGCACCACTCTGTATCGACAGATGCATTCCCGGAACACCGTCAGCAGCTGTCGTCAGACTGCTTGATTGGGGGCTGGCTCCCCGCCCTGCCAGCTGTACATGAATGCAAGGCGAGACAGCGCAGCGTGCAAACCTGGTATGATACCATGATACCCTACGGTTCCTGCAGCACTAGCTCACCATCCGCCCGCCCACACACCTTATCCGGTAGCCTTCATCATTTATGGACAGCTCTGAAGATGTGACAATCGTGAATGACTAGCGATCCGCATTTCCCACCTTCCTTTGCATTCCGTATAAGCAAAGTTCGAGGCCCTTCGGATAAGCGACCACGCCGTACAGGTCACGGAAAGCGCCGGGGTTACGATGTGTACAAGATAGTAGACCTCAGTTTTGATGCTGGGAACACTGATATCTCCTCTACTGAATGCAAGTTCGGGCAGCTACATACAGAACAAACATGTACTGCCCTCACAGGAAGCCCGGTTGAATCGGATTTTCCCATTGAAATGCAGGCGTCCATTGCATGAGTCGTACCAACATGCAGCCCGAGAGTCAATACCCACGACCCTTCTCATGAATCAAGTACTCTCACCATCAGGGCACTGAAGATGTCCGGCTGGACTATCCACCCAACATACACGTCTCCCTTTGCGATGTCTGAGGAGATGCTCGTCAGGGTCAACATGGCTGGGGGAGCTTCTTGAAAGCCTCACGATATGTACTGCAGTCGGCTCTCTGCCGAACATCGTTTGCGGCTCGCCGACGGCCTTTCACTTCCGACAGAAACTCTGAGATGGCATCTCCACCACGTAAGAGCATGATGAGGCTTGTACCTAAGCACTTGGTATGCCATCCTGCGTCTACGACCAATTTAGGAAGGACGTTAGTGATCATTGTTATGATGTGTTGTCCTTATCCTAGCTGTCACAGATGACCGGCGTTTCGCATTTCTCCGAGGTTTTGTCTGGCGTGACATATCCACTACATAAGCAAACGGGGAGCTAGAGGGATATTGCCAGACGCCTACGGCTATGAAGTCAGCACATCGCGTACGAATTGCCATGAGTATTGATGCCGATGTCGGAACACAACCACAGAAGGTGTGAATTCCAAAGATTCGATTAGATCGGAAATGAGTGGAGACGGTCACCGATTTGCTATATTAAACAACGCCTGCGGCAGACTTTCGTAATTTTCGGTCTCTTCATACAATGGAGAAACTGCTTGCTTCACCTCGAGAGTCTCCATGTTTGTTTTATCGCTACCTTGCAAGTAGCAGCGTTAATCACGTGACAATCTGAATAGACCTGCTATCCCATGCACAAAACACCTCATCAATATCACCTCAACATTTTCCAGAGTCAACACAATCACAAACGCTGCTCCGTCAGTAAGCAAATAGATACCTCCTTTTGTCAATACCATACTCTATGACTCTCATCATATTCATAGCAAGGCAGCAAAGTCATACGTTGCTACTCGACTCAGATAATCACAGGTGCGATGGACTTCATCATCAAGCATTGCCTGCGCCATCTTGATCACGTCATCCGAAATCATGAGAGAAATCTTTGTCACAAGCGGATGTGAAGTGTTCTTGGTTTCTATTCAACATTGGATCGAACTAGGCATACCGCGATATTTGATGGGTATATAGTCTTTCCGCATCTTCTAATAGCCCCTTTACAATACCACCGGCAGCTCCACAAGATGAACCGAACACTAACAATCAACCAACGAACAGCGGCTGACCCAGCCCGATCAACCCGTATTTTGTGTTTCGGTGCGCCACCGATCAATCTTCTTCCGTTCTGAGCCTTAAGCCATCGTGCTTACGCTGTCCCACGGTCGGTCATCCACCTGAAAGTCCCAATCATCCGCATCGTTATCTGGTGCCATATCAGGATTGGCGTCAGGCGTGACTTTCTCCAGCCACCGCTCTACGGACGCCATGTCCGCGGAAGCCATTAACTCAATCTCCAGGCTTTCCTCATCTCCTTCCATCTGCTTTCCAGATTGGGAATTCTGATCATCGTTTACTCCTGCAAGCTTAGCTTTCGCGTTTGCGGCGCGGACCGCCTCTTCAGCCTCAATAAGCTTGCGCGTGAGCTCCTGGCCCCGCTTGAGATTGGAAAGATCCAAGTCCGTCTGAGAAGTGATCTGCACACCGGCCATCGCGGCACGTTGTCGCGCGTTGGACTCGGTGCCATGGTGGTCCTGGTACCTGTCGATTTTCTCTTGAGCGTTGACGAGTCCGATTTTCTTCAGAAAGAGAACGTGGCGCGCTCTGGCTTGTGGATTCTCGTTGATTTTGCGGTAACTAGCATCGCCCAGATCAAGCCGTAGTTCGGAATGCTCTGGATCAAAATATGGCCGGCTAAGAGCGCTAGGTATGCTCGGTGGAATGGATCCATTGGGCTGCTGCTGAGTGTTGATCTGAACCGGCGGAAGTTCGGGGTCCGTATCAGGTCGCATCTGATCCGGCTCGAGCAGCTTATAATTCACTAAGACGTCGTCCAGGATGGCATTCACTTCAGCCTGAAGCATCCTTTGGTTGGCGTATGCGCTTTGGAGTACTTCTTCCAGAGAGTTCAGCTCTTCCTTCACACGGATATGCTCGCTTTTCAGTTCGTTGACCTTCAGCTTGAGCTCGTGGATACTTGCGGCTGTTTGAGACCCAGCTGGATAATCCGGTGGTGAAAGGATTTCGAGATCGTGTAGGGCATTGATCAACCGCTCAAAGGTCCTCTGTTCCCCCACTTCCAACATCTCGCGATCTTGGTGTATCAGAAGTTTGGTTCTCTGAGTCTCCCTTTGTCCCCTTATGGCGAGCTGTAACTTGGCGGACAGCTCCATGTTGAGTAGTACAGCTGGACAATTTTTTAATCCGTCGGTTGCTACTACCATTTTTGCAGGACCTAGGGTGTAATCGAATTCTTTCTCCCCTTGGAACATCCAGTTAACATATAGCGGCTCCTCCTCCACTTCCTCCGGATCATCGGATGTTGTTGGATCTTCCGGCCCGACAGACAGTTCTGCTGCAACCCCCATGCCGGGTTCTCCTGCTGATGGCTCATCCGAAGCGTGTGGCGGCGGGTCCGGTTGGTCCCCGTTTACCCGATCAGGTGCTGTTTCTGGTTCTTCTGGACGAACCTCTACAGCGGCGTAGAACGTAGCAGTCATCTGCGTCTGCGCGGATTTTTCTGTTGTTCCATCCTTGCTAGGAGATTCATGACCACTGTTGTCTGGCTCGTGACGTCCACTCACGGCCGGCTATGCTCTGAGAGAACCCTCAAGAGCTGGGACCTTGGTTTTGCTTTGCTTCGTGATTCTAGTATTTCTGTTATCCCCGCAAACGGCTACCAACCGTCGCTTGATCTTTTCATTGAAGAAGTCCTTCATCTTTTGCATGTGATGAGTATTGCGAGTTCCTCCGGAGCTAAACATTTAATGTCGTTTGACGAGCCGCGGGTTGCGAGAAGAGTTGTGATATCGAGCGTGGTTGACTCGTGTTGTGTTGGATCGAAGCGCAGACTCTCAATCTGTTCCTGAGCGAAAAAGCGCGTAAGTTTGTGCGGTGGCTCCAGCAGCCTCACTAAAGCGCGCAGTTTCTTGGACATCGGTGATTTCACAAAGAGCTGTTTCCTTTGTACTCTCACAATCAGCATTCTCACACAGTCAAGTGATCAAACAAAAAGGTAGACACGCGATCGCCATGTTGTGAAGAATGCACTTCCTTGACTTCATCATTTGAAGCACCTGTAGACCTTTACCACGGTGAATGCGTTAATCTGTGCGAATGCCGCACCGGCTGTGACGAGCTCTTCCACATATAGAAACCCTCCAAAGAGAATGTATGAACCTGCTCTTTTTTTATCACTCATCCTTCACTACCATCCGCCATAACCTCCTGTCCAGCGGGAGATTAACATCAAAAGCATCCGTAAGGATCTATCGAACAGCAATGCCGCGAGGCTTTCCATCAACCCAACCCCAGAGGGGAGTTATAACTCCAGATACTCAACAGGCGCAATTCAAGGATGCAGGCTATTCCCGAGTTTCATCAGGCAATCGAGCTACAGCGGAGTCAGCCAGAGCGACATATACAACAAAGGTCGCCAGTCACACGGAAGCCGAACCGGCACGTCAACAGTACGAGCTAGGCACAAGCCAGCGGACTTTGGCTTCCAAGACTTCAACCTGGGTACCATCATCAACGCTCGACACTTCGGACCGCTGCTGGACCACACCATTCCGGCGGGAGATACGCGGCGATTTGAGAGCGCCATCGGTCCTGGATCAGCTAAGAACAAATACATGATCGTCGTTGCAAAGTTCACTCGACTCATGCTGGCTCTTCCCATCACGTCTTACTCCGGGCATAGCCTGAAAGGAAAAGGTGACAGCCTTCGCAAGAAGTATGTCGGAATAAAACTGGCTGGAGATACAGAGTACATCAACCAGTTGCCACATCCTCCGCTCGAACTCTGTGATGACGGCACTTCCTCAAGACAAAGCCGGAGTCGCATGTACACTTCGTCGGTCCAATCTACGTCGAATATACTCAGGAGGGTAACAGCGTGGCAGGAAATATCAAGAGCGAGAGTTTTGACCAACTGGCGGATCTGATGGGAAAGCACTTGGCACGCACCATGTCTTTTGCCACGAAAGAGCCCAGCAAGCCAGTAATCGATGAAGATGGCTTTACCACGGTCTCGGGCTCGAAGGCGAAGCCGCGCAGGACCTCACTGCTTGGGTCCGCGACAAGCGGGAACTCCATGACGTCCAAGTACGCGCGTCTTTCTCTCCATGGTAGCACCCTCAACAGTGTTGCGGAATGGGTGACGGTGGAGAAGCTAGGCGATTGTTTCCGTTCTCAATCTATGTAAACTGCGGCGATACGCGTACAGTTTTGTGCTGTAGCGCTGGAAGTCGCATGTACACAGTCAAACCAGGATAGCATGATTTAATGAACTTGCAATGGCATGATGCTTTGCTTTTCAGGAGCTCGACATCGTCGTGAAGAACCATTGCCATGAAGATGTACGCCCATATAAACATGACGCATGAGTGCGGGAGATGAATCACCGCGCTGATGACTCCATCCATGTCTTGACTCTTTCGAGTTTGATCGAGTGTTTCAATACCGTGCTCCTAAGACGTATGGCGGCCAACGACGGCTTTTGAGTGAGGTATGCGATGCCCCTGGCGTCGAGCTATTGCGATGGCGAGGCCAAAACGTGGTGATCAGAGTATGAAGAAGCTTCAGTAAGTCCTTGTTGGTCGTCCAGTCCAGAGACAGGCTCTTGCAGATTCTTGAATACAATAACGCGGGCCCTTCATTCTCTGACGAGGCCGACTTCTTTCGTGTCTCGCTTGGCCTTCGTTCTCAGCCTGATGCACACTCTAAGGCTGATTACGCTATGCTAAAAATGAGCCTGCGAAACATGGCTTTGCGCGCAGTCTTCACTCAGCACAACTACGAGCTCCACGCCCATTTGCACTGCCCCTCTAGAGGCCGCATTTGATTGATATATGCCGATTGCTTCGCCGTTGTTTGCTTGCTGCCAAAAATAGCAGTAACTGCCAAGCGAGGCTCACGAGCGTCATCCTTGCCCTTCGAGCTTCGCACCCCCAGACAGACACAGCCCTTGCGACGCGTATCACGCTCTCAGCACTTCAAAATGCATCTACTGGATTGCCACAACGACAGCAGAAGCCAACGTCCCTCCACACCCTTGGAAATCCCACGAAACAGATTGTACAGCGCCAACATAACATGAACAACGATGCTCGACGAAAATCTTCCCAGTGAGAGACTTCGATATGTACGCGAGAGGCCACAACAGCTAATGTCTCCAAGCATTCTTTCTTAAGCCATCACCTGACAGTATAGCCCACCACCGAGCATACTACTTCTCACAGCATGGCTCCGAGCCGGAGTTGGCCTACTCCTTGAAACACCTCGACCCTGCTTCTCCCACATCCAAGAACATCTACGCAGCCGCTCTTTTCGACTCTCACAGTCCGGATGTGCTTTTCGCCGAGGTTCTCGTCAAGCCCGCCTGGACGCAGCCAACACTTTCACAAGAGGAGATACGCAAAAATGGCGGGGTACCTCCGCCGCCGCAACCTATCCTGCCATCAGATTTCACCATACAGCTATACAACCCCGAGCAGCAAGTAGTCGTAACGCAAAAGACCGGGACGTGGAGCGGAAGCTCTTCGTACGAGTTCAGGCTGCCGCAGCATACGTTCAGGCTGCCGCAGCATACGTTCAGGCTGCCCAGTGGTTCGGCACTCGACCGGAGCCTACATGATCCGAGTGCGGATGCCAGCACCCCGAAGCTGAACTTCGTCTGGAAGAGAGAGAGCAAGCTATCGAAGGACTTCACGTGCTTTTTAACGGGCAAGTCAACAGACCCGCAAGGCCGGAAGAAGAGCAAGGAGCCGGATATCGCAATAGCGCTGTTTAGCTCTCTACGGGAAGTCACTATCATCGAGTCGAACCTATATCGCGTTGATGTCGAGGACCCGAAAGGGCTGGAGGTTGTTCTGCTGCTTGGAGCAGCGGTCATAAAGGATATGTACTTTGGGCAAATGAAGGATACATTCAATATCGGCGAGACGGCGAGGAAGAACAGTGGCGGTCTGCTAGGCCGTAAAAACTCGGCGCCGCTTGACACTGCAGTCTCACATCCTCATGCGCCGGCCCGTCTTTCGCCGCCAGTCCAGAAAGGCATAGGCCCAGGACAACTGCGTGTTTCCCAGCATCCCGCCGCAGCCAATGCACTATACCAGCCACGTCGCCAACTAACACCAAACGAACAGAAACGACAAAGTCTGCCGCCTCTGCAAACCAACCCCACCCCACCCTGACAACCTTAACCGCCCCTAATTGATCCCCGCAAGCAGTGGGAAATTGAAGCCGAAACCGCTCGTCTCCGCCAACAACAAGAAGCCGAGGAGCGTGACCGACGGCGCGGAGAGGAGATCCAGCGGCGGGAGCGCCTCCGAGCCGAAGAAGCAGAGGCCAAGCGCATCAGAAAGATGGTCGAGGCAGAGGACAAGGAACGGAGGCGGCGCCAGGCGGAAGTAGACAAGGAGACGGAGCGGCTGAGGAAGAAGTACGGAACCCAAGAGAACCTTGCTCTGACGCGGGTACCGGTTCCGCAAAGGCACTCCGCTCCGCTACTGCGTCAGCCCTACTCGAGACCCGCGGGGCCATCGCAGCCTCAGAATTGGGTCCCTAGGCCAGTGCAGGCTGTGGTTCAGCCGAGGCCACCGCAGCAGATGAGGCCGGTGAATGGACCCTATTTGCAGCCTGCTGGGCACCGTCCTAGTGCTTCGACGAGCACGTTCTTCAACGGTGGCGGGTCGTTGCAGCCTGGTGAGGAACAGAAAATGAAGAGCAGGAAGAAGAGTTTCTGGGGTCTGAGGTCGAACAGTGAGGGGGCGAACTCGAACAAGCTGGCCAAGAAAAAGAGCAGTATGTTCTAGAGAGCTTGTTTCTAAGCTTTGGAGCAGTCATCATGTGCTTAGGACAAACATGTACGGTTGAAAATACATTTACCTCCCCCAGGTGTCTCAATGAAGGCTACCCTACTTCCCTGCGAGCCTCGTGTCTTTTGTATCCTTCTCTCGTGCCGCCTTGCTCTTCTTGCAAAACCCCCTGCGCTGCCTCGCCTCTCGATAACCACATCGAGAGAGCATTCACTTACAATATCTAACCGTATATCCACTGCATCATAGTTTCAAATTATCATGTGGAGAATCACCAGCCGATGAACCTTTTGTCCATGTATTGCGAGGCGGGCGCGGGCGCGGGCGCTTCTTGAACGTTTGCCGAACTATACTAATTGCCAAAGCAGAAGTTGTGACAATTATCACTTTGACACTCCTTACCCGAGTTTTGCGCAATGGGTGAGTCTATCATTCACGTGACAGCGACCTTTTTCATCCCCGCCACCGACATTTTCACATGCGTCACCACCCCGCGTTCCTGACGATCCAGCCTCGAGCCGCACGCGCCAAGCCACGCTAGTAATCGAGAATCTGGCGCGCTACAGCTCGGCTTAGCGCAGTTGAGCAAGTTTGAGCAACAAACCGCGGCGGATGTCACAAAGCGTCGGCGCCACAATTGGCTCAAATGGTTTTCGGACGGCTGTTTACCTGTCAATCAGCGCGATATGCAAGAGTAACTGCCTGATTCGGTCGTCAACTCCGCTGATATGGATTACTTCAAGAGGGTCTCTTCTTCTAGAGCGATAGGCCTTGGCAATTGAACGTTTAAGACGCAGGAATTCCCTCTTAAACATCTTCTACTACTACTACACACAATCCAAACCCAAACATCGCCCTCCTTCCTCCCCTTCAGCTACTTCCAAACAATCCTCCAGCGAAAGGACTTACAGCCACCGTCATCATGTTCGCCAAGCTACTCCCCGTTCTCCTCGCTACGGCTCACATCGCTTCCGCCCACTTCAGACTCCAATATCCCTTCTGGCGTGGCGACTCATTCGAGGGAGAGGCGTCGCAATGGACCTGGCCTTGTACGTTATACGTTCTATGCAGCACTTCCCACAGCAGACGAGACGTTAGATCTGGGAGAAAACTGGGGACCACTAAAAGCTGACACCACCACAGGCGCGGGCGTCGACCAGACAGAATCCGCCAACAACCGCACGCAGTGGCCTCTGTCCGGCGGCAGTGTGCGCATCTTCGGCTCGCACCCGTGGGCGCTGACCTACGTTAACCTGGGCGTCGGCAACAATGTCACAAGCTTCAACATCACCCTTCTTGACAACTTCAACCAGACAGGCAACGGCACGTTCTGCATCTCTCAATTGGGAGCAGCGGTCCTGGAAGAACTGGGCGTGCAGGAGGGAACAAACGCGACTCTCCAGGTCATTCAGACTAGCCACTCGGGAAGCGCACTGTACAACGTATGCATATCTTTCCGAGCGCCGAATAGCTGCCACGCGGCATGCACGTATGGATCAAAACGGGGTGCAGCCATAGCTAACCTTGATGTAGTGCGCCGATATCACCTTCTCCAACCAGGCCCAGCCCTTGACCGGCGAGGAATGCACCAATTCCACTGGCGTTGGCGGCATCCAGATTGCCAACGTCGGCACAACGACTACTTCTGAGGGTGGAGCTAGCACGACGGACTCCAGCACTGCGGCTTCAGCGACTGCGGGCGCAGCTGTTGCAGTAGGCGTGCCGGGCTTCGTGGTTTCGGTCGCTGCAGTCGGCTTTGGGTTGATGCTGGGGCTCTAGAGGGAAGAATTGGGAGCAATGGGCGTGAAAGGAAGGCTCTTGGAGTTGCGTGGCTGCTTATATTGCCCACTGCTGGAAAATGCGAGGAGTGATATCCAATAGACTTAGGGAGAGCTTTAATCGAGGCCTACGTGCTTGACAGACTTGGATCTATCCACGTGATTCGCACATGCGACTCCCGTGATGAGATCTGAAAGATAAGATAAGATAAGATCTCCGATCACAAGCGGCGTCACAACTGCTGCATTCGTGAACAACGCACTCCAGACTGGAAGCTGTCTTCATTAAAATGACTGGCACCAGGAAGATTAAAGGTTAGACTGTCTCAATCCGGAGTTGGGTATATACCTCCGAATCTCACTTTCAAGCCTGGTCTGAGACACTCGTTCACATATCGTTCCCTGTCTCTGTTTCGGCCGCAGCATTATATGTTTCTCTAGAATCTTCTGTACATAACGCTGCATGTTTTCTGAATTTCCCTGGAAGTCAACATGTCCTCCCCGGCATCCTCCAACGGGGCCATCATGCCCCGCATAATCATCCATGGCGGCGCCGGCAATATAACCCGCTCAAACCTCCCACCAGCATCATGGCACGCCTACCGCAACTCTCTCCTAGACGTGCTCCAGTCCGCATCGCATATCTTGTCTCGGCCCGGTGCAACAGCCCTAGACGTCGCCACTCACGCTGTCGCCCTCCTAGAAGACAACCCGCTCTTCAACGCTGGCAAAGGCGCCGTCTTCACCCGCGCGGGCACTAACGAGCTGGAAGCCAGCGTCATGGTGAGCAACGGGTATAGGAAGAGAGGCGTGGGCTGCATGATGCTGAGAAGGGTGAAGAATCCGATCAAACTGGCACGGGAGATGCTGGTGCGGGGTGAGGAAGAGGGGGGCGGCGGCGGGCAAGGGCATTGCCAGCTTAGCGGGGAGTGTTTAGAGGAGCTGGCGAGGGAGTGGGGAGTGGAAATGGTGGAGCCGGGGTATTTTTGGACGAGGAAGAGGTGGGAGCAGCATTTGAAAGGCTTGAGAGAGCGGGGTGCAGAAGCCTCTAGTATTCACGGACCAGCAGTCGATCAAATTCCTCCGGTACCTGTTGATATCCTTAGCGATGATCCGTCATGGGATGGAAAAGAGTATCTGCCACAAGGCACGGTGGGCGCGGTAGTGCTTGACAGCTTCGGCACGGTCTGCGTCGCTACATCTACCGGCGGAATGACGAACAAGCTTCCCGGCCGCATCGGAGACACGCCTACGCTGGGCACCGGATTCTGGGCAGAAGAGTGGTTCGAAGAGCTAGCACCGGCATCACCAGCAATTGAGATGAGGTATGCTGCAACGGCACGTCAGACGTCTGGCTCTGCCGCGAGGGTTTTTCCTCTGAGCGACCTCCAAGCTGCGCTATCGGAGTGTTTGTCTCTAGGCAGGACAACTACACCTTACACTCCACTACCAGCAAAGCCGACAATCCACACCGAGAAAAAGAAACCCGCGAAACCCCATCGCATCCACCATGCAGTCGCCATGTCCGGCACCGGCAACGGTGACTCATTCCTCAAGACCGCGGCCTGCCGCACCGCAGCCGCGATGTCCCGCTTCTCGTCACCTAACCTCTCGCTCGCCTCTTCCGTCAATCGTGTGGCGGGTAGTGGTGGAGAGCTGCAGCTGTCAGCGGGCGACCACTGGGGACTGACCGGTGAGGGTGAAGGCGGCATCATTGGTATTGAGCTCGTCGGCACGGATGGCAAGCTCGTCTCGGACTTCAACTGCGGCGGGATGTTTAGGGCGTGGGTTGACGAGAAGGGACGGGAGAGGTGTATGGTGTTCGAGGAAGAGTATTAGGGATGCAAGAGTTTCAGACCGGATGAGGATCTTACTGATGGACCTATTGGTACCGATTAGATATATAAGACGCTTCGGCTCGAACCAACATGCATGAGGTCACAGCGCCCGATCGAACTACATGGAGGGCGACATCCGGCACCGGTCCCAGAGCCGTACGACCAGACGCGTAACCTGACGACTCGAGCCCTGGCGCATTGCAAACGGACAACACTCCCTTTGTCGCTATACTACAAAGCGATTGTGTAATCTGCTATAGACCTTTCTTCAAATTTCACAACAACGCCCTTTGTTTACCAGAGCGTTTTCATCGGGACATTTTCACCACTCAGGCAAATTCGTTGCATAAAACCATCGCTAGGCCTGGCAAAGCATTTTTCTCCAGATTCGTCATACTCAGGATACCGACCTTGGGCTACTCGAAAGTTCCAACTGAAAATTTTCAACCGCAGAATCGTTATTGAGAGCCTCTAACATTGACACCATGTCGCATCACCAAAGTCCGCGAAAGCCCGTCGCCAGAAAAGAATTGAGCCGCATGCAGACGATCAAGGAAGAGTCCAGGGGAGCTGGATCGCTCTCGTCGTCTCCAGTCGGATCACCGAGCAACCAGTCCTTCGACCTGAGCTACGAGGAGTTCATCAAACAGTTCGAGCTGGATATCGGGGGTTCTGATTTGAACAAACACAGCTCACGGATGTTCAAGCTGCGACAGTCTCTACTAATCGCCCCAGCTCCCGTCCGCGATTCGGCGTCCGCCTCTGCCCCTATTCCTGCTCCGATCTCAACCGTGTCTGGTCGGCTCACGATCAGCGCCCCGCTGCCATGTTTCTCGCAAGAGCTCGGCGGCCGTGCCTGTGTTCAGCAGGACGACGAGTGGCACTGGGATCGGGACACCGTGCTCCTTGTAATCGACGCAGAAGGTATGTTGGCCGTTTTGGACGCTCTAATCCGCAACGAGACTGGTGAGTGGGCTGCCTCGACAGCAAAGAAGCGCCAGATGCGGCAAGCCTGGGTTCTTTACCTCGTCGTGTCAAAGGCGCTGAAGGAGATCGACGGACGTGCTATCAGAATCAGGCTGCTGTTCCATTCACTCAGCAGCGACTGCATCAATCACGTAAGAAAAAGCACGAAAACGTTGGACAAAACATCTGATAAGATCAGCAAGGGCTTGAGTAGGCTCATGGGTAAGGATGCAGCTTCGGACGAGGTCGGTGACTTCGTTCACAAAATACTTCGCAGGATGATCAACATCCAACGGATGAAAGAGGAGGCATCACGGGAGTAAGTCGGCATCCTGGGTTGGCACTTTTGCATTTTGGGTCAACACTTTGCATTTTTAGGTTGGCGTTCTGAGTTTACCCTGCTGGACAGGCACGCGATAACGGTCACATCAATAGAAATAATGCTTAACACCAACCCTGCCGACACGTGACAAAATCTCTAAACCTGTGATTTGATGATATCTAGTACTACTGTATTCATCTCCTTAATCCTCTGCCATCCCGGCCACCCCAGTCCCTCTCACCACGTCCCCACAATCGTATCAAACCATCCGCAGCTGAGCCGACCATACCACTCCATCCTCCTTCCCTTCGGCACACCCCCTTCACAAATACCGTACTCACCGTCCCCGGCGCCGCACAACTCGCCCGTGCTTGTGCTTTCCTCACAGCGCGACGACAGTTCACAGTGCACGGCGTACAGAACGGAAACTCCGGCGTACTCCCCTTGACGAATCCGATCAGGTCTGCGCCGTTAGTGAAAAAGGCAGGCATCAAGATCACGGTGATCTGCGCGTAGGTGGGGAGGTTGGGGTTGGGAGATCGGGGGCGGAAGTGGGAGACGTTGATGTTGTGCAAGGTTGCTTCGGTAACGAGATGCCGGCGCCGGCGCCGGAGATGGTGAGGAAGGGGGAGATGTAAGTGGCATATAGTTTGGGGAGGTGCAGGATAGCGGGATCCATGGTTGTGGTGCTGCATGTTGATCTTGGGGGTGGCGGGCTGTCGATGTAGGTGATGTATGCTTTCAGCGGGTGTTTCACCGTACAGTTCGTCTATATGCTGGCAGACGTGCTGGCGTCCTGGCTGTTGCTAGGTATCTCATGGTGAACACACAGATCAATGACTATGTGGTGATCAATCGTGGATTCTAGAAAGGTGTAAATGAGCGGTTGATATACAGGGTATCCAAAACAACGAAGCCCCAGATTAGGATCCAGAACAAAACACGCAAACCAGACACACCGCAAGCCTACCCCTGCCTCCACTCATCCCCTACTTCTTCTCCTCCTTCCCCATCCTAACAATATCGCCCTGCCCTAGCACCCACACCCCCTTCTCCCTCCTCCCCTCCACACACTCCATCCCCGCCCTCACCCCCGCCCTCGCAATAACACTCGCATCCTGCGCCCAAAAATCCTTGCCCCACCCCCCGGTCAGCGCCCCCGCCAACCCCGCGATCTTCCGCACCCCCCACTCCGCAGGCCTGCTGTCCTCCCTGTCCCCGACAATCAGTCCCGGGCGCAGGATAACCGTATGCTCGAAGCCAAGCGCCTTGATCGCGTCTTCCAACTCGGCTTTCATGCGTGGATACGGGAAGAACGAGGACGAAGAGGCGCCTGCGGAGGAGATGAGGACGTAGATCTGCACGCCCGCGTCCTTGGCTGCGCGTGCGAGGGACAGGTTCAGCTCGACGTCTATTTTGTGTTGGGCTTCGAAGGAGCCGGCATTCGCACGCGTGGTGCCGAGGGCGGAGAGGAAAAGGGAGGGGCCGCTGGGGTGGGGGAAGAGGGAGGGCCAGGTGGAGTGGTCGGCGGAGAGGAGGGGGGTTAGGTTCGGGGAGGTGGTGGGGAGGGGGCGGCGGGTGTAGGCGTGAGTGTGAGCGATGGAGGGGTCGGAGAGGAGGGTTTGGAGGATATTGGAGCCCTAAGGTGGGATTTGTGTTAGTATGCGGGACTTGGAGGGGTTTGAGGATGGTGAGGGTTGTGGGTAGGTAGAGGCATACGACGAGGCCGGTGCTGCCGGCGAGGACGGCGGTTGTCATTGCAATCTGTTTGGACGGGTGGTTAGGTTCTTTTAGGGTCACACGCAGAGATGCTGGATCAAGTCTCGTACAAAGATGAAATCCACCATTGATTGCATGTCAATAGTATGGATACTGGTGGAATATTACATAAGCTTTCCGAACCACCCGCTACGAAGTCCCGTTAGTCGTGGCTTGTGCACACATCACGACGGACACGACTATATTCGAATCTAAATACAAACTGAGAGCATCAAAAGGCGTCTAATGCCTTAATCTACTATATAACCAAAGCGGTCGGCCACTAGACCTATTAATTGTAATGCACATATACGTCGTGACATTAGATCTATACAACCCAAACGACCGAACAAATTATTCCTCGGGACGCCGTGTCCCATGCAACCCCTTTTGTGTCGTGATCAGATGAAGTGTGATTAGATAAAGAAGCTCCCGAAGAAGATCACTCCGGTGAAGATGGTGATAACGGTGTACTGCGTCTCATGCCAGAAGGTCGCCTTCCGCCATCTCTGAATCTTGAACTCAGGCTTCGGATGCGCAATCCCCGTCTTCGGGTCCCGGTCCAGCAGCTCCTCGCGATCTGGGACAGTTGGCGGCCAGATCGTATACCGAATGGGCACGCAGAACGCAGTGATGCACAGCAGCCAGATGAGCGGGGGCCAGAAAGCGTGAGTGAGGAGGTAGACGAGAACCTTGTATGCCGAGTCCCTGAAGAAGGCGCGGACGGTGCTGAGGATGACGGATGTCATGACAAAGGCGATGTATAAGATGTGAAGGTAGACCTTGCAGTCCCAGATCATCACCTTGAGCCTTCGCCAAAGCGGCGCACGGAGGCGAGCATCGCGCTCGTTGAGCTCGGATTTGATAGAGCCGGATGACGAAAAGGTCATAGGCTTGCCGCCGAGCCAGGAGGGGAGGATGAACGCCGTGAGAATGGTGAGCGCGTGGTAGGGTGCCATCCATTGTTGTGCGCCAGAGTCGCGCTGGGCGAGACGGTAGCCGGACGGGATAAACATGATATACTCGTTGATACGGGTGAGTATAAGAGAGGCAAAGCATAGCCGAATCTGCCAGCGGAGCTGACCGTAGTTGGCAAAGGCAACGAGCTGCCCGCCGCTGACGAGGACGATCGGGATGGTGAGCAATGCGATGAGAGAGAAGATCTTGAAGAAGGCGTCGATCGTAAAGACGAATCCGGACAGACGCTGGAAGAAGGTCATCTTGCGGGTAAGCTTGCCGAAGAGGCAGAAGCGGAGCTTGACTGCTGTTTGCAAGGTGCCAAGTGTCTGTTGGATTGTTAGTCCTGCTTGCGAGTACTACTTTGAGTGGGAACAACTTACCCAGCGCGTCCGCTGCTTGAGATGACCAGTGAATGTCTCAGGCACTGTGCCGAATTGCAGGGCCTCGTGTACGAAAGCTGTACGCCAGCCGGCGCCCAACAGCATGGAGCTCGTGCAGACATCTTCAGCCAGAGAGCCGGTGGGCCATCCGCCTATCGCGTCGAGAGCAGCACGACGGACAGCATAACCTGAACCGGTGCACCATGCAACGCCGCAGGCATCTTTCGTAGGTTCCATGACATGCACGAAAGCGTCCAGGCTCTGCACAAGCGGGTCGCTCTCGGGTACATTGTAGAAGAGCTATGTTGTGTTAGTCGCAACAATACTGGGATTTGGAGGGGCTGCTTACCTGCGGCGGACAGACTAGGGACATCCGGGGGTCAATCACCATGTGTGCCATGATCGCACGAAGCCATTCGGGTTCAGGGATCATGTCAGCATCCAAGGCGGCGATGTACTCGGCAGGACCGGCCCTCAGCGTTGTCACGAACCCTGTCCCGCCAATGAGGTTGCCTGCCTTGTAGTGATGCGGTACACCCTTGACTTTGACACGAGCATGGTAGAAGAGGTTGGGATAGTCGTCGGACAGATCCAATACAGCTTTCTTCAGCTCCTGGTCTGCGCCATCGTCGCACACGACAACCCTAAATCGGTCCTGAGGATAGTCGACAGCGCAGGCAGCGCGGACCGTGTCCAATACAACGTCCACGTCTTCCTTGCAGCAGGTGATGAAGACGTCAACAGTGGGTGCGATGTCACCGCGCAGCCGCAGCTTGGGCCTCCGCCGGCCTTTTACAGCGAGTAGCGCATAAGTGTTATGGAGAGCCGCAGGCACTGATAAGCGTGAGACGTTAGCTCCTTGCTCCATGTACGACTGCGCAATCGTGATTGTCCGAACGCCCGGGATTGAGCCGAGCCCTTACCTGCAAGCGCCGCTTCTGCCGCGATGAAGAGCCAAGCCATCACGTAGACTTTATGATACTCCCTCTGCGCGGCGAGCGTGTAGTAGATGCGGAAGCCGAAGTAGAGAAAGTACGAGGCCATGGCGAGCGCGGTGGCCAACGGCCCAAACCTGTTGAGCACCTTCTTCCAATGTGGGAGGCGGTCACCATCGTCGTGCTCATGTATCTTTTCGACCATGTACGCGGCATCGTAGTACTTCCTCCCGAAAGCATTGCCGGTAGACAGTCCGTTGAAGGGGAGTTCCTTGCCGCGGTTATGTCAGTTCTTCACGGGGCTAGGGCTGAGGCTCCATTGTCCTTACGGATTCCGCCACCAACACTTTCTCCTTGACGATCTCATCTTGCTCCATCAGGTCGTTTGGCGATGCACACGCGGTTCTGCCCCGGAGAGAATTGGTCCTCGTGGGACTCAAGGTAGGCGTATAGATTGTCGGAGGGGCTTGGGGGCCATAGGAGAGCTTGCTATCTGAACCCCTCCTGCTAGGTCCATACACAGGCGAGTTCACCGCCGTAGTAGGCAGCGATTCTTCAATCTCATCATAACTCAACTGAAACGCTCTCTCTGGGGTGGGGAGCATCTTGGATCGAAGGGGATATGTATAGAACGATTGTGTGTGCAGAGAAAGACCTCGAAACGACTAGTCCGCGAAACAACGAAGGACGTACAACACAATGACCGTCCCGAGGAGGAGACTGAACGAGCGTAGGGGAAGCGAATGTTGAATAGAACGTGCTCCTAAAGTTAAGGACAGATGGACTGATACATATACTCGAAATGCTGCATGACAGCTCCGCAGCATTGCCATACTGACGTCGCCCACGCTGTATCACAAGAAGTTTTTTACTATTTTCGAGGCTATCTCCATGGGCCCTGCCAACGCTAGACAAGCTTTCCGGCCATTTGCTCCTGTGGTGACCTGACCTAGATGGCTGGGTGTTCTCGTCCACATGAGTCTGCTGCAACGCTCCGGGCTGTCCAGTCCTGGATAAAGCACGGCATCCTAAAAGTTGCACAATGAAGAGCAACACTGCCTTGGTTTGAGCGCTTTTGGTAGATCTCTTACCAATTCAGTACGCGTTATTCGAGAGCCGCAGCCGGCACGGGTTTGGTAGAGCGTGCGAAAACACACCGTGACAGCCGTCATTCGGCCCACTGTGGCTGCTGGCGGACCCTTGAGCGCAGCAACGTTTGGACTGAGCCAAGGCTACACTGAGATGATTGGGTTCTCTAGATCGCACAAGATTTTCCATGCTGCAGCCACGCCCTGCCGTGCAGCCTTACTGAGATCCGCGACGGTCTCGGTGCAGACAAACAGTGGGCCGAGAGCGCATGCGTGTTCCACAACCACAGTTCAATACTTTCAACGGCGACATCCAGCTGCTATTGAGGTCGGGCCACGTACGAATGAGGTGTAGCCGTTGAGCTAAGGTAGGTACGATCGATTTGTGGCCCCATTCGCACCGGTATGGCGAACGTTTCAGCAATTGCATGTTATTCTGATGGAGCCGCTGTGCCGTTTTGCCCTTGAACAGGATGGTGATTGAAAAGATTCAGCGAAGAAAATGACAGAAGGTGTTGTTGGATCGTCCGCTGACCCGGATGATCGTCAGTTCCTTCCGTCGATCTGCAGCGGAGAAATCCCTGTGGCTGGACGGCCCGAACACCGCAGCTCAGAGCGCTCTTTGCAGCTCCGGACAGGGACAGGAACGGACATGCCCGTTATCTGAATGTCTGAGATGCTGGACGACTTCCTCTCTTGCTCAGATTGCCCCGTATTCTGGAGTCACATCAGCTAATTGGCTGCTGAAGGCCGTTTCTCTTGTTTCCAGGCCTCCGCTGCGTCGTTCTGTACCATCTGTAGACTCCTCAACGGCTCGGATATCTGCATTACCAAGCTAGGAACCCTATTCAACATGCGCAGGGACCAGGACTTCAGGGACAGTTGCCGTCCGAGGTGCCCCGTCTACTACGTGAGATGCTTCCGTCTACGACGTGAGACGGCTGTTGGAACCACCCTCAGTAACACTCTCTTCTGATTGCGCTACTCTCACAAAGAGACCCAATGTATTGACAGGTGAAGCGGGGAAGTCCGCAATAGATCAATGAAGGTTCTCGAGGGTGTGCTCCCGGCGAAATCGCTATTACAGTCCATTGTGTCGACACTGGATAATGTTATCATCTCGAAACCCGATCATTTTCATGTCTGGAAAATGAGAACATTCAGTTCAATCATCCTTATGGGGCTCTCATTAGATACCACGCTGATGCTAGTTTCCTTGTCAACCCTTGTCAAAGCCCAGTCGGCAACCGCAGCTATTCTTTGCGATAAATTCCAGCAAGCTACAACGGCCTCTGGCCGCTATACGTTCCTGACCGCTCAATGGGGCCTGGATTACTCCGGCCAGCAGTGCATGACCGTACGTACATTATCTTGAATTTTCCTAGCCGGCGCCGCGCCACTAGGCCATTGACATATGCCGTTGCTCAAGGTCTGGATTCCCGATCTTCTCTTTAACAAAACGCTGGAACTAGAGGCATAGTCTCTCTTGCAAAGCATCGTCTACGTTTCGTTCTGATTTTCTTGTACGTGGAGCGTTGCGCCTGGTCTCAATTGCGAGCCGTTATCGGGTTGGCGTGCCGAAGCAGGTATCAGGATATACCGAGACATGGTAACGGCTGTCTGCGCTCTCTCCCGAGGAACGGTTCAACGGATTCAAGCCATGCAGCGGGTCTGCATACAAAGCCGGTTCTGGGCTGTAACGACTTTACCGAGACTGACTCCACTTACAAGGTCAACCTCAACGATAGAAACTCTCAGAACTCGACCTCCTTCGAAGCTACTTGGGAGTGGGCAGCGGAGGGCGTAAACAGAACTGCAGTAAGACTCAATTCTTGAACATCGCAATGGGTCGGTAAGAAAGCTGTGCGGCAAACTTTGTCGAGAGGTACCACCTTGGGTTCCAATGTCAGGAATACATACCCACTGTTCCGAACTGACGGGAGGTGATTGCAGATTCACTCGTTCCCAAACGTCAACCTCAACTCCGCTCTTCTGCCACTCCAGCTTGTCGATATATCAGAAGCAAGGCTCAATGCATCATGGTCGATCGCGCCGGTCGCCGATGCCGGTGCGAAGACTTCAGCCACAACACTTGCTGAGGTGGACGTGATGACCAACGTCGCCCTGGACATGTTCTTAGCTGAAGACGAAGCAGCTGCAAACAGCACAACCGATGCAACTCATGAGATCATGATTTGGCAAGCCGCGTACGGCGGACTCGAGCCAATCGGCTGGGGAACTTTGGCACATGACTACGCGCCGGCCTTGGAGGTTGGTAAGACAACCTAGTAAGTTACTCATCCGTCTCCTAAATTCCTCTAGCAGAGACTGACAGGACATACAGCACTCTTTCACATGGCTACAACGGCAACAACCAATCTGTCTACACCTGGATGCCATCCACGAACCTCACCTCCATTAACATCGATGTCGCGCCGTTCATACACTACTTGTGGCGGAAGGAGTATCTCGCAGGGGAGTTGTATCTCGGCCTAATGCAGTTCGGCTCCGAGGCGGTCCACTCGGCCGAGGGCCAGAACATCACTTTCACAGCGAAGAGTGTCTTTATGGATATTCAGAAGGGCGAGCCGAGAGCCGGAAGCGCTGCTGGGGCTCCGAGACCAGCTTTGGGTATTCTTGGTGCAGCGCTGCTTGTCGTTGCATGCGTCGGCCTTTGGTGAGGCGGAGATGTCCTGGTCGGGTTGCGGAAGACTTGCGCGAAGGGGCGGAGAGCTTGGCGTCCGCTGGCGCGGAGATGAAGTTGATGTGCCCACGGGCAGGTGGCCGCGCGCGAAGCGGAACAAAGAATCTCTTTGTCCATTGATACCACTTTCATAGTTTTACTATAGACTTTCTTTCTTTCTTTCATCGCTTGATGAGTGCTGTTGTGTCAACCTGTCGGTAGCTCCTCGGCGCTTCTGCGCTATCCCCAAACCACAACCCAATAGCAACACACGTGCAGGGTGTACAAATATCCGCGACTCCGGTAGGTCCTCAACATAATCCCCAGCAAGCATCAACACACAAGTATTCTTCCTTTCTACCGCACAACACGAACAACAATGGGCAAGGGCAAGGCTTACCACTACGGTCCGGAGATGGATCAGCTTCACAGCAACTGGCGTTACTGCACCGTCATGTAAATATCTGCGAGGTGCTCCGGGTTAGACCAATGCTGCCGAAGGATGGCCTTTGCCAGGGGAGCTGGGGATAGGGTTCCATATGGACGACTTTACGTCTGGAGACTATTGAACATAGAGACGGCTTAGGGCTCAACAGGAAATTTGCTGTACAAAGCTAAAACAATACACCGGCTTCGGAATCTGTACACGAGGTCTTTACTTTTGTATGCAAGCAAGGCTGAAACGACAAGAATGAAAACACCTGATACGCATCGTGAATTCATGCAGTGAAGAGAGTTTGAGAAAGATTGAACTGAACAACCAAAGAAAGACTCGCATCTTGAGTACCTAACATGGAAACCATATGAGAACGGGATCGAAACCGTCTTGGATGCACATCTGCGGGCACACGCACTAGCTATTCCGCACACTGATAGTTATCGGTGAAGAGGACTCATTGCCGCTTGTTGCTTCTCAGATATGCCGTGCTGAATAACACAATTTCCCACAAATGCTGGTTACGGCGCCTGAGTTCTCATCCCCGGTCTAGGCCCTGCTGACAGAGCGCTCAATCCAACTCTTACAGCGCCTGGAAAGTCGCAGTGAGGCCCAACTGCTTGAACATGTCTCCTCCTATGTCAACGCACATGAAGGGACATCGAGCTCCCCCCAGTGAGTGATCAGCCGAGACTCCGGACCGCGTAGCTCGATGATGAATCGATGAGTTGCGCTCTGCTACGTGAACCGCTTGATAATACGATATGTAACCTCGTCTTCAGGTCGTTGCTATTCAAGGCGGCATCTGCTTGCGGCAGATTGTTTTCCCTCCAACGGCAGACCAAGCTTTCCTTACGTCCGGCATATCCGACGCTAAGCCCTACCAACGCCGACGGAAAACTTCCGCTAGAAGACTCTGACGCAACTTGAGACTGGTAGAGCGCTGAGGTAATCTGGATGCAGCAATGGCTCGCTGCGACTTCAGCCGAAACTGTGTGCTCTCAGCTGCATCCTCAGTCAGAGAGGTGCGTCTGTCGCACGAGCGGCAGTTAAAGAGCATCCTGTTCACTCATTATCATCGAGCCCGCCGTACATCATACCCCGCGATCGAGCGTTTGCGACTACAAGTGCAATCAGGATTTACACACGATCCATTCGTAGCTGTTCCGAGGGCGTCAAAGCTGAACGGGATCCACTACTGGCTGTCGAGCCATTGTAGCTCCGTCATTGGCTGCCGTAGAGTAACTCCCTAGAACGACTGCGAGCTCGAACAACCCCGATGTCGACGCGAGCTGAACCCACTGAGTCCTTCCCTCGGGCTGCCAGCAGTCAATCGATGGAGTCGAGCTCGAGATCTGCGTCGGAGAAAGAGAAGCAACACGGACGTCGCGGCAGCGAGCCCGAAAGAGCGATAAACTACAAGCCAATCCGAGTGGAGACCAACACATCGCGACGCACGGATCCAACGCGATCCCAGAGCTTGCGCTCAATACACTCGCAGCGATCGTACGGCGGACATGATGGCTATTCGTGTTTTAGCGACGAGGAAGCGCAGCACGCGTCGAGCGGCGATGCCGATGCCGGCCAGGAGAAGGATGAGTATCTAGTGGCATGGGATGGCGGAGACAAAGATCCGGGGAACCCAAGGAGCAAGAGTAAACTGCAGCGATGGCTCATTGTAGTGGTCGTGTCATCGAGCTCGTTATGCGTGTAGGTTTCACATTCGCGATTGAGCGAGGAGGGCATCGGTTACAGAGCGGGCGAATGAGAGGATGAGGCTGACAAGAGGGTGCTGTCAGAACGTGCTGTTCATCGCTTTACACGAGCACGTACGGGCAGCTTATTCCGGAGTTTAACACCTCACGTGAAGTGGCCACCCTAGGACTATCCCTCTTCGTTGCAGGACTAGGCTTGGGGCCCATGGTGTTATCCCCCTTATCTGAGGTATTGTCTGATCATCTGATGTTTCAAACGCTGTAGAACCCTACGAGTATCCACTGACTGCAGCCTGCATCCTAGTTCTACGGCCGTCGGCCAATCTACATCTACTCATATTTGTTCTTCGTCATTTGGCTCATTCCATGCGCAGTGGCCCCCAACATGGCAACGATGCTCGTATCGCGCTTCGTGGACGGCCTGGCAGGATCTGCATTTCTCAGCGTCGCCGGTGGAACGGTTGGTGATATGTTCGCGAAGCACGAGCTCAGCGCGCCAATGATGTTCTATACTGCATCACCATTCATTGGGTAGGTGTTGTTTCATTCTGCGCCGATCAGCAAATCACCTCTTATTAAGTCACGATCAGCCCGTAACTTGGAAGCGCTGCAAAATAAGGTTCGAGGACATCATCTCTGCACGTGCGTGTTGGGAGCCACAACACTCTACCCACCATGCCTTGCGGACCACTCACTTATAGAAACGGCTGGGCTCCGCATGATCTTCGAGAGGCGCGCATCTCAGATCATGCACACAGCAGAACCTGCTTGGAGCTGGGGCTGTCTCCGCGCCATGTCCCTGCATGCGACGGGCGACGTCCAAGAAAAAGCTCCAGTCTGCTGCAGGTGGCGTTCATGCCGCTCAACGCACTCGATGCAAGCATTGTGGCTAACTGGAGCCTTCTGGGGGTATCTTGCTAAGCTTCCGGACGTTGCAGACTGTTGATCATTGATCGTTGATCGTCACTGGGAATCAGGCTGACACTTTCCCCACAGACCGGAAGTCGGTCCTCTGATCGGGGGTTTTATCAACCAATACACGAAATGGAGATGGACGTTCTACGTCCTGCTGATTTGGGCAGGAGTGCAGCTGGGACTGATTGTCTTTCTTGTCCCTGAGACTTATCATCCTGTGCTGTTGCGGCAAAGAGCACGGCAGTTGCGTAAAGAAACCGGCAATGACGCCTGGCATGCTCCCATCGAGAAGCTGACACGCTCGCTTCCGCAAACGCTTCTTTGGTCCTGCATCCGTCCATTTCAACTACTTGGTAGGGTTGACACACGCCGCAAACTCTATCTGAGCTCAGCTGACGTTGAACTTCCAAGTGTTCGAACCAATGGCAAGAACAGCAATTGACTCAACAGGAAACATCAGCTAACCTATGATTTACTTAGTGTTTGAACTTATGCCTTCTTTCTGCGATTTTACTAGGCATCATTTACCTGTTCTTCGGGGCATTTCCACTGGTGTTCGAGAACAACCATGGGTTCACCATCTCACAGACAGGGCTAGCTTTTCTAGGTTTGTTGATCCACTTACCCTGCCCACACGCGACGTTTCGCTAACTATCTTTAGGTCTATTCGTTGGGATGCTCCTAGGGGTACTGAGCGATCCTCTTTGGCGGAGAAATTACACTCGACTCGTGCGCAAGCGTGAGGCGCAGGGCGGTGAGCCAGGCGGCTCTGAGCCTGAGTTTCGACTACCTCCAACCATTGTCGGGGCAATTCTCGTTCCTATTGGGCTGTTTGGTAAGCTCGTGCCTGGCTATGAGCATAACGGCAACCCGCATCTCAAAACGATTGCCAACTAATTTCGATCTGCGCAGGGTTTGGCTGGACAACGTTTTCCTGGGTGAGTTTCGTCATTAGTTTCAAACAATCGGACTATTAAACCCAGTTACTGACCATGTCCTTGCAGGTTCACTGGATAGGTACAGTAACTGATCGACAACCGGGGCGACGTTGATCCACTCTCTGAACGGCCCGAGAGCGGCAGCGGCGCTACGGCCTGAGTCAACAGTGCTAACGGTCCTCGTCTAGTACCGATCCTGTTCTCATTAGTCTTTGGAGTCGGGTGAGCCGATGCTGGCAATCGCGACCGGGTTGACGTATTTCACTAACAATGACCTACATAGAACGATATTCGTCTTCGCTGGCGTGTTCACCTTCCTCGTCGATTGCGTAAGGAATCCAAGCGGACAGACGGAAGCACGAGCCAGCGACTAACGGAGGTGACTTAGTACCCATTGTACGCAGCGAGCGCGCTTGCAGCGAACAGTTTCGCTCGATCCAGCTTTGCCGCTGCATTCCCCCTGTTCGGCGTGCAGATGTACAACAGTAGGTATCCGAGACACGATGCAACAGAGGCATCTGCGCTGCCCTAAACGAGCAGTCACTGATTTGAGAGCAGAACTGGGCGATCAGTGGGCAACCTCGCTTCTAGCATTCTTGGCCTTAGCGATGGCGCCGTAAGGATCACCAACCTTCTTCCAACGGGCCGGGCATGCACGTCGCTAACAACTGCCGTGCAACACCACAGATTCCCCTACATCTTCTACCGGTACGGCAAGCGACTCAGGGGTACAAGCAGGTTCGCGTCGCCGTAGAGTCGGCGAAGGTTTGCACTTGAACATGGACTAAGAGCAATGGTCGCGGCTGGAGGAGTGAAGTTTGGGTCACTGGCTCGCCATGTATGCACTACCTAAATATAGCGGTGTCGCACAGAGGCATTCCAGGGGCACCGGTGGTGCGTTCAGGTCGCTTCGGTTGCCAGCGCGCCACGTGACACGACTTGGAGCATGCAGAGGGCACAGAGGGCACAGAAATCCGCTGGCTGACCGAGGGCTGGTTGATCACCCTCTGTGCGACGGGCCGCAGCGCCACGGGGGGGATGGAGGCCACCGAGCTGACGGCTCCCTGATGCGCGCCTGGATATGTAGCCATTGGCTCTGAACGGCGGGTGCGTTGCGACAATCGGCGAGCTAAGAACGTGGCCGCCCAGAGATCTGCCCACTTCCAGTAGATTAAGCTAGGTGCGATTAGAGTTTTAAGGCCCATGGCTCGAATATTGAATAGTGGCGATTAGCGGAAGCGCCCTCTGGGATAGCCTTGCGGTGGGGAGTGAAGACAACTAAGTAGCGGCTGAGGAGTGAGGTCAGGAAGAAGGTTGAGGCGGAACGGACAGGCGCCGCGGCACAAAGAAGGTTCGACGAACAGCTGTCTGGCGCCTCCAGCCCCATGCTCGCACCGCAGCCCGCCAAACACCAAGGCCGGCACGGTATCCATGACTGCGGGGAGCTGGCCCTTGCCGCGGATGCACCAGAAAATTGTCAGCATCCAGCATCCAGCATCCAGCATCCAGCATCGACGTCTGCCAGAACAGCTTCGCGCACCGCCGCTTGCGCCTGACAACCAGACAGCTCGAAGCTCGCGCTGCTAAGGCCCGCCGAACTGCCAGCTGCGTCTTACAGTGGCCATTGCTGCCCCGTCCCAGCCCAGGCGTCCTGTATCGGCGCTCCAGTGCGGTGTCATCCTGCCCAGCGGGTTGTGTACCTGCCTTGCGTGCGAACCACACCGTACTCCGCCGTGCGCCTTTGCCCACCGCTCGCCCTCGAACAGCAGAACGTCTACCGGCGGCATGGATCCCACGAGACAGACTTGCCCCCATCGTCGATTATCATGAACTGCACGCGCGCCCCTCGCATCTCCCCTCTGGTGCGTGAATCCCAAGGCTTAGACCACGACAGCAGCTGTCCCCATTCTTGCGTGCCGGATTAGCAGCCTCCGCCGCTCGAGCGCCATCAGATCTCGGGCAGCTACTCAGTCCAGCCAAAGTTAGCGAGCCGTTGCAGGACAGCGGTTTGCGGGTTGCGCTTCATCCCGCACGGCCGAGGCAGCTGAGGCGCACTATTAGAGCAACGGTGGCACAGCATTCTGACCTGGCCGCCTTTGCACGCGTGATCGCATCGTCGAGACGACCGGTTGGGACAACCCCAGCTGAACACCCCTGCCTGTCCATCAGTAGGGCCCGCATTGCCGGGAGCTCCAACCAGCACACCACTTCCAGGACCACCCTAAAAGAGCGGCGGGAACACGCAGAGATAAACGTGGGTCTAGCAGCCGGCAGCATCCACGCAAAGGGATTGTCTCCGTGAGAAAGCATTCGCTAGTCCCGGGAAATAATTAGGAACAGGTCTGTCCTGGTCCTTGACTGTTGTGTATCCTACCTATAAAGTAAGATATTATGTCCACCTCAGACGCTGCCGATGATGCATCTCCCTCGCCGGAATACAGCGGCGATCTTGAGGGAGTCGACATGGCGGAACAGAAAGAGCCTCGCACGGAGAATGATGAAGGCTCGCCTGCTCAAGCGAGCAATGGAGAGAAACCTAAGTCTTCCAACGCCAAGGACCCTCTGAGGCCGAGGAGGAAGAAGGCCAGAAGAGCATGCTTCGCTTGCCAGCGCGCTCATCTTACTTGCGGTGAGTGTATACAAGCTTACCGGGAATCTCCCCTCCTGTTACCGTTCAACAATGTTAATTGCACTGGCTGACGTTGATTACAGGTGATGAGCGACCTTGCCAGAGGTGCATCAAGAGAGGACTTCAAGATGCATGCACGGACGGTGTGCGCAAGAAGGCCAAGTACCTCCATGATGCTCCTGTCGAGGCACTCATGCCAGGCATTGGTGGTCATTACCACCACCCCAATGGTACCAAAGCTTCATCACTCTCCATTCCGGCGTCCGATCCTGATTCCTCAGTGCCTCTTGCACAAGCAGGGGTTTTTTATCCGCAGGCGCAACCAGCGACATTCAATGTCTACCCGCAGACGACCGCTCAGCAGCAGATGTCCCTTCCTATTTCGGACGGCTCGATGATGAACCCCTTCAACCATCAACAGACGCCCATCTCACCCTCTTTCAACCATCCTCGCGTACAGCATTCATCACCGATTCCGGGCATACCCAACTCTATGTCGCAACTATCGCAGCCGACCGCTGCGCAATTATCCAACTATGGCGCACCACTCTTCGACCCGAGTGATCCGGCGCTTTTCAACTTCGACATCTCCGGTCTCAACTTTGGCAACCACTATGGTGCGCTGGAGTTCGGCATGCTCGGTCACATGTCCTCCGGTGCCGCTGAAACTCCATCGGAGAAGGACCACCTGATGAATCCACTCAACCAAGCAGCGGCGTCATTCAGTGCGCCTGTAACGAGTTCCAGCTTCTCTGGTGAGGGCATGCCGTCGAACCTCGTGTTCAGCCAGGATGCGATGGGCCAGCATGATTGGCGAGACTCGCACTCCAGACAAGGCAGCGCGGCACAGATGCAGACGCCCCAAAACACGCCTGCTATGATTAACCTCGATAGCCAGCAACGAAACGACGGTTTCAATGGCCTGGCTCAAGCCTATGCTATCGGTACTGGCCCAAGTAGCTTAGCTGGCGTTAGCCCTGCTTCGGGGCCTCACGACATGGTAGGGACCTACGAAAATGTACCTATCCCGGCGTCCATGTTCGTAAACCCAAATCAGCAGCAAGCGTCACAGCAGCAGCAAGTATTCCAGCACCAACAGCAGCAGCCACGTCAACAACAGGTGATGCAGCACCGAGGGTCGCAGCAGCAACAACCCCGCTCAGACTTCCTACAAGGTAGCTTTCAGCCTCAAGGCACACCCCAGCAAACGCGCAAACGCCGCCGTTCTAATCCATCAGACATCTACAACTCGGTCAAAAATCCGCACTCCTACACGAGCGCCTTCCACGCACTAACCGCATTCCTGAAAAAGCGGCTTTCGCCCGCGAAAACCGTCCGCGTCGCTAAAGCCATGGCCTCGATCCGCCCATCCTTCATTGCCTGCACTAAATCCCTTAACCGCGACGATCTAGTCTTCATGGAAAAGTGCTTCCAGCGCACGTTGTACGAGTACCAGGAATTCATCAACGCGTACGGCACCCCCACCATCATCTGCCGCCGCACGGGCGAAGTAGCCGCCGTCTCAAAGGAGTTCAGCATCCTAACCGGTTGGCGTCGTGACGTCCTTCTGGGCGCTGAACCCAACCTTAACGTCAACACGGGCACGCCCTCGACCTCAGGCGCGCATTCAGGCAACAACTCCACGGGCGGCATCACCACGCCCGCCATCCCGGCCAACGCAGACGGCGGAGCCATCGAGCCCGCGAAACCGCAGCCCGTGTTCCTGGCGGAGCTGCTGGACGACGACAGCGTGATCCAGTTCTACGAGGAGTTCGCGAAGCTTGCGTTTGGTGACTCGAGAGGCTACGTCATGGCGCCGTGTAAGCTGCTCAAGTACAGGACCAAGGAGGATATAGGGTTCGTCGAGGACCAGCTGGAGAGCGGCAACAGTGGCGGCGCGAGGAGAAACACCAACGGTGCTTCTGGCGCCATCAAGACGGAGCATGGGTTTAAGGGGGGGATGGAGAGCGCGATTGGGGGCGAGGCGGGGATGAATCAGTTGGGGGATAAAGATGGGAAAGTCGACTGTATGTACTGCTGGACGGTCAAGAGGGATGTGTTTGAGGTGCCGATGTTGATTGTGATCAATGTGAGTATACGCGCTCTTGTTTCATTTTGGGGCAACACTATGGAATTATGTGCTGACAATTCTGCGCAGTTCTTGCCCTGCATATAGGTGCGAGCATCGCGTGCATAAGGCGCTGATGGAGTTCCTTGGTGGCTACATAGTGGCTTAAAGCGTTGCTGGCGTTGGTACTTGCTTTCTGGGATGCAGTTACTGGCATACATGAGAAACGGCTTGGATTTGGCTTGACTTGGTCGTCGATGGCTATCGAGATATTGATGTTGAAGAGAAGACGCTGAAGCAGCTGCATGCATTGTGATTTCTGTACCTCAGTCGTCGTTCTGTTTTGAGGCTTTTCTCTGGCGCAAGGCGGCTACACGCATGATATCACGGATGGGACTTGCAGTTGCAATGCGATTACGATGTTACGTTACCTAGTCTATCCGTCTAATATGCTTTCAATCTGCCGTGTGTCTCTCGTACTTTTTCCCGGCCCAGCTTCAGCTCGCAATATCAATCTCCTCTTGCTCCTCCTTACTTCTCGCCTTGGGAAACTGGACCAAGTACTCATCGTCCCGATACTTGGCATACGCAGGCCTCGCCAAGCTCCGTCTCGTGACCTCGATATCCTCCATGATGTCCTCAACTAGCGCTTCCTTGGACACGTAATCATACTCCGGCCGTATGAACCCCAGGACCAGGAGGTTAAGATGGCTGCCGTAGAAGTCGGAGGGGAAGCTGCGCATGATGTGGACCTCGACGCTCCGCACAGTGTTCTTGTAGTACGGATTCCAGCCCACGCTCATCACCATTGGGTAGACCCTCTCGTCGAACTCATCTCGATCACGATCTCCATCGGAACCTTGAGCCTCGCGGCCGTCGCGGCCGTCGGCGCGCGGAGCCTCGAGCCCGGCCCACCCAAAGTAGATCCCGCTCTCCATGCCCTCCTGGCCGCCAACGCTGAGGCCGGAGAGCGGGATATTGGCCGTTGGGATGCCGAGCTGGGGATGTGTGTCAGCCTGACGCGCCATGGATGTAGCTAGGGAGATTCTGTGCGCCAAGGTGGACACAGGAGGTGGGTATACAAGGGGATGAAGCAGCAGAGATGCAGGAGAATTTGTCCAACGGTATTTGCTGCGTCTTGCGCTGTTGATCTTTGCCAGCACATCGTCTGAGGTTGATGTTGGGTGCAGAAAAGGGTTGGTGCAGTGGAGGAGGCAGGCAGGAGTGTCTGCCACGTCTTGCTCGGCTGGCCACTCACAACACATCATATCTCTCGATGATGGTGAGATGGGTGCAGAGTAAAAGGCTCGGTGCAGTGGAACCAGGCACCAATGCATCGATGCTGAACGCGTAGGCGCATGGGGTCTGCACTCTGCATGCACCCCAGCGCTCACTGCATCCATGAATCGAGCCTCCGCACTCCCTGGGCAATCGGCTCGAGCTGACATGGCAGACTTGCATGACATAATAACGCTTGATAAGGCGGGCTAAGGGAAATTATACGGAACGATCCCCGTGACGACGGATAGTTGCATTGACAGCGGAGAATTGCTTATCGAAGCCGTTGAGTCTTTTTGCATGGGTAAAGAATTGCTTGGAAGAAATGAAATTCTTTCAGTTCGAGAGTCACGTACCTCTTTGCTGCCCCGGCCGAACCCTTTAATCACTTTTCCACTGAGCTTTAGGGGAAAGGGTGGCGAGGGGCCGCTTTCTGGTCCTGCTACCGCGTCGCGGGGCCCGTTGGGACGCATGCTGAGTGTGAAGTAGAGACGTTGATTCGACTGTCGGGGTAATTTGCAGATCGAGATATATTCAGGTTCTTGATTCATGTGAGCATCAACGGCAGGGCGCCAAAATGACTCGAGCAATCGCGGTGGTTCGTCATCGCGAAGGGCTGAAAGCGTAGACCAAGTTGGGCGTAGTGCGGATTGCTAACGCTCACCTCATGCGAACCACTTTCAGAACGCAGCTCGTCGACAGACATAGGCGATGGGGTGAACTCTTCGACGGACTGCTTTCTCTCTTGACAGAGCAGGGTTTTGTGGGTTTCGAGACGGCATTGGCCTGGTCACATATTTGGATGGTGCAAACCCAGTCTTATATATCATCAGCTCTAACCAAGAATACCCTGAAGAACTCGAGCATACTTAATGTTATATCACTGTCCCAACCACGGATGACGCTGTTGTACTGTCGTAAAGGTCTACCTACACTCATGTCACAAACGTCGTGTATCTTGTACCGAGTTTTCATCCTCTGCTGTTCACGGTCCCTCACCGGCATAATTTGCGGATCTCGATCAGGCCTCAAGCCGTCAGGGTGGTAATGACAGCGAGCAAAGATGGTTCTATGATTTAGGACCGAAGATAGACGGTGGTCTCTCAGTATTCCAAGTGACCTACACCTAGTAAAGCTAACAAGTTGATCTCGTCTTTCCTCCTCTTACAGCCCATCATTGCCAAGTCCACATCTGTCTTCCGAAACTGTTTTCAATCATTTCAAACTTCAAACAAGCTGCCGTGGTAAAGTGCTCTTCTCGCAGCATAGCAATCATAGCAGGTTCCAACATACTACAAATGATACAATCAGCCTAAGACTTCTCCATAATTCGTTTGCCTTTCTTAACCTGGGAGTCTGCTCTCCCCGCTATATTACAACCAGAAGGCGGCACCATAGGCCCTCGAGGCCATGTGTCGTGATCTACGAAACACAAGTGCCCCCGTAACGTCAAACCCACTAGCGAAACCCATGGGTTTGATTCTCGATTCCACGAAGCACCCAAAGAACGTGCCACAAACCACTGCCACGGTTGATCACGTTTGTCTTGTACGTCCGCTCATTCGCAGTAAGCTTCTTATCTCCTGTCTTGCACAAGCGTAATCCCATCCACAGTCCCAACACTCCACTCCAGTTCCACAAACCCACTCGGCAGGTACACCTCTAAGCTGCTCTCAGATCCGCGCACCGTAGCACGACCACGCTCCCCACAATGCCAACAACCCCCCAACGACACGCCGCGAGCCCGGCGCGCCTCCGCCCTCACAATGGCAACGATGCAACCTCGCCCCTCTTCGCTGCAGGGAGCCGGCGGAGCGACAGTGCAACAAGCGCCGGTGCAACCAGACCCCGCACGCGCAGAATGGGCCCACCTCTTCCTGGAACCTGCGTGTCTCGTGTAGGTACAGATGGCGCAGTTAGCCGTATGCGGTGGCTGTGAGCCGGCTCCTCGCAGCTCCAGCAGGTTCCTGATCGCATGTGTAGCTCTCCGGCTTGTATCGACGATTTGGCGGCGCGAGGCGTGCGGTGTTACGTGGGGACGGGGGGGGGGGGGGGGGGGGGGGGGGGGGGGGGGG